ACGAGTAATTGTTTTGATTTGAAATTTCTCGAATATTTGTTTTTTTTCGACTGATTTGATAGATGAATAAAAAAAATCTATAATCTAAAAAAATTGGTTTAATTACGATATATGGATACAACTTCTATTCAGTCGATTTTAAAATACATTCAAAAACAGAGAATACATAAAAATATTTAACAAACCTTTTGGACAAAAGGTCAACCTTAAGATCCCGAATATACTTTTGTAAGAACATTAGATTAATTCCGAATTCCATCTTAAATCAATTGTTCATTTAGGTAAAAAAAAATGTTAATACCTTAGGCTATTTTCAAAAAATGTTAACTGAATACCCTGCAGACTGCAGTTTACTCGCACATTCACCAAGTACGTATTTCTACGGCTAACAAAATTCATAATCGTATCTTTTAATTTGTTTAAATTTATTTCAGTGTTTATTTTTCAAACTTTTTATGTAAATAATTTTGGATCAACATCGAGTCAGATCAAATTATAATTTATTGAATTATTAATTAAAAACTGAAACATGCATCCAATCTAAATTTTACGCCTATTATCACCTATATAAAAAGATTTAACAGAACACCATTCATGTTTTATATTAAAAAAAAAACCATATACGCTAAACGAAACTATGCACGCCAAGAAACGATGTACGCTAAACGATACGATATACGCTAAACGAAACGATGTACGCTAATACGCTAAACGATACGGTATACGCTTAATGAAACGATGTACGCAAAACCATACGATGAACGATAAAAGGGCGCTTATGTTATCGTTTACGGTATGGTTTATGGTATATGGTTTCGTTCGTACATCATTCGTTCAGCGTCCGTACAACGTTCGGTCAGCGTTTCGTTTGCATTCGTACACCGTTCGGGAAGCGTACGTACATCGTTCGGGCATCGTCCGTACATGATTCGGTCATCGTTCGTATTGTTAACTTTTACGTTACACGGACTGTAATTCATGTATAGTCAAGTCATTATGTACCATTTAATCAGAATTAATTATTATCCTCTGCAGAAATGAATCTTCTATATTCCCCAATGCATATACATGTATTGCATACATACACAGTATTAAAGTTTTGTTGTAACTAAGGCTCTTTTAAAAGTATTGGCAAACAAGTTTCGCCGTATGGAGCGAAGCAAAATTGTTTTTGAAGGGTTTTTGAACCGCTGGAGGCCCAAGAAGCTATAGAACAAATGATGCAAAATTTCTTAAACTGAAAATGCAAGTTCTGTTTTAATAATTTTATGACAATATTTTGGTCTCAAAGCAAAATCACGTTATAGATTCAGTGTAAGACTTAAGTTTCTAGGAACAACATCAAAAGACAAATATGCATGATAAAGCAAAAATGTAATTCACATAGTTAAGTCTGTGGCTGCTGTGTTTTTTTAAACTCATGATCAAGTTAATAATAAAATTACTAAATTACAAAATGAATGCAACACTAACAGAATACAGAAGGGCAATCAATGAACAAAAGACAAATAAATAAGAAACATTGATCCCGAAAAATCAGGGGCTACGTCTGAGGGAGAACAGAACTTGCTTCTTGCAAGGCACTCATGATCACGGTGAACACAATTTGATATGGAGACAAGCGTTTGGTTTTGAAATTTCCTACATGAGGCATTTGTCTCAATGTAGTTACGGCCCTGATTTAATAAAAGTGAGGTAAGTGTTCCTGAGACAATTAACCTCAAGTTAAATGAAACCAATTTTCTGACATTTCAAGTATATTTAAATAATATTTATACTTTTATTATTAAAAGATAAGTGTTTCCCGATTATTTTTTTTGGAAAAAAGATGAATTTATGAAGAATCTGGTGCCATCTCATACTTTCGATTAGACCTGCTGAGTTATTTATTTTCAATACATTGCAAGTCAGGTAATTTATTTTCAAACTACCACAGAACAAACCATTTATTTTTGTGATTATCAAGGCTGAGTTATTTATTTTCAAAATCCTCCTGCCCCCTACAATATCAAATGGTCGTCCCCTTAACGTAGGGAAATCCCTATAGTCAAACGAAAAGAAATATTTATCTCACCATATATTGTTAGCTCTGCTTTAAAACAATGCAGAATACTTTTTTACAAATTTACATTCAAGTACTTAAAACGGTAAAACGTTAGAAATGCTAAATTTAACTGTTGACGAAATAAATTTCGATCAATTTAGTTTGAACTTTTATTATATCAATTTAACATCTCCTACGTGTATTTGTACATGTAATACATGAAAAGGAAAACAAGAATTAACAATGGACAGATCATCAAATACAAAAACTTGCAATACCCATTTCCTCCGAACAAATTGACGATAAAACAAGAAACATCATATGTTCTAAATATACTGACTGGAGTAACAATTACAATTATAAGAGTTCGAGTTAAACCAGTATATATTAACTATATCGCCTCTTTGCCATGTAATACAATGTGAATTTAAGGAACAACTAACAATAAAACATGCGCAAATTTGTTCTGTTCATTCGTTACCCCATGCCCATTACAACCAGACAAAAAAAAAACAATCAATAAAAAACTATTTGCCATAACCCACAAATATTTTCTTGAAAGGGGTTTGTTTAAGAAAAAAAATGCAAATAACGCGCATTTCTTTGAAATTATACCCAAATGAAAAAGAACAGACTGAGGATCACACATTTAAACCTTATATCTCGTAATACCAATTGTTATTTAATTTGTTCAGTTAATTTGAATACGATTTTCTTAATATTTCATTTCACATGTTTCATTTTCATCCGTTTTATGAGATCAACTTTGAACTGGCCTTTCTAAAACAAAAATCACGTGTATTATTTTTCTATATAACACATACTTTGTGAACAATACGTATACATGCCCTTTCATGGAACCTGCAGTACATGCACACGTGTACACACAACAGTATTCGAATTATTATACTTGCTGTGTTGCTACATTTGTGTCAGTTGCATTAGGTAATATCTAACTAACTTATCTTGTTTTGTTCGTATAAAATACTTACGATGTGTACAATATTTCCCAGCTCGTCCTTTTACACAACCTCTTGTACAAGCACTAGTTTCTGCATTGCATATGCCTGCTTGGCAATAAAGTGGATCACAGCCCCAAACACAAGAACCATTTCTGGGAAAACAGTGTTGGTTTGTACACTTTGTCGGACAAAGCTGTGCACAGTTCGTTCCCCAAGTTCCACTCCAGCAGCCTAAAATGTTATACTTATTTATTCATTGATTTTAATTTGTCTTTTGAATTGACAGTCATATTTAATTTAAAAATGTGTGTTTTCAATGTGATCGGTACACATTTTTTAAATTGCACCGGACTGGAAGTCACTTCTATACACATTGTAAACTTGACTCGTCATGTATGAACAAGCGTCAACTATGTGTAGTCTTAAGTTTTCTGTGTTGTGTTTTGTGTGCTGTTGTTTGTCTGTTTGTCGTTTTCTTTTTTAGCCATGACGTTGTCAGTTTATTTGCGACTTATTAAGTTTGAATGACCCTCTAGTATCTTTCGCCTCTCTTTTTGAACAATGTGTAATATACATTTCCATACAGTGTAAGTAAACGCGTACAGATTTGTTAAATACCTTCAAAACATACCCCATTTCCCATACTAAAATGCCTTTACGCATTCTCGTTTGAATCATACTCACAAACACAATTTGCACCTTTTATAAGCAAGCCTGAGTGTAATATAAGATATTTCACCCAGAAAGCATTTGTTTATCCATTATATTTTTTAATAACAGTGACCCAGAACTTTGACTTATTTAGATCACTATCATTTTAAATAAGATGATGTGGTATGAGTGCTAATGAGACAACTCCGAGTCCATCCAAGTCACAATGTATAAAACGTTAACAATTATAGGTCAAATAAACGACAACCACTGAACAACATGCTCCTGACTTAGGACATTTCCTTTCCCTTAATAATTCACTGATGTTAGTACACTGTCAGTTTTAATCAGACGTGGAAAACTAAAGATTTAACTGGAAAGCATTTGTTCACATTGTTTTTTTAATGGCAGCAACTTTGCACTTAAAGCTATTAAACACCAAAGCTCCCTAACAAAACATTTAGGAACATTATAAAACGCACACTGCAGCTACCAACATCATAACCACTGATTTCAATGGGAAAATAATAATCGGAAAATAATTTGAAAAACAGGGTAAAAATGTTCTCGCTACTTAATGAAGCTACATCTGGGTTGTTGTTTGTCTTATCGCTGATTTACGTGTGGCCATTGAGTTGACTGCTATACTTTGAATTGTATTTTTTTAATGCTGTCTTATTTTCTTTCATCACTGTTTAAAAAAATCGCTTTAGTTATGATTAAAAGTACCAGCTATTAAACGAGTAATGCAAACTTTTAATGTAATTGATTTAAGGGTTGTGGGTAGACCTTTTTAATAACTCTCGACACCGAATAATTATACCTACAGTTTACAGATGAAATGAGCATGATGAGGGTGGTATCAATGGTTAATATTACATATACATATTCAATTTAACAATATTAGAGAATGGAAACTGGGAATGTGTCAAAGAGACAACAACCCGATCAAAGAGCAGAAAACAGCCCATGTGGGACCCTTCCGGCCTTTATATTTTTTAGCGACGACCTCTTAAATTTTACGCCCCTTTACCTGTCGTTGTCGTTGCGAACTACATTTGGTCTCTGATGGAGAGTTATCTCATTGGCAATTATATCACAACTTCTTATTGTTACGAAATGGATTGTTCATCTAGTTGGGAAATTAACAATTTTAGATAATTTGTATTTCAAGATTTACAAAATAAAATAAGAATGCTAATTCATGTAACTTTGTTTTACATTTTGTATATACTAATAGTAGTGCCTTAAACCATGCATACTACACTCAGTGACTCTTTTAAACTTTTGTTTATCAGTTTACCACTTTTTGTATGCTTTTTGATATAGATAATTTAATTTTCCTTTAAGTTTGATAAGAACTTGCATGTTTACTTGATTAAGGTTGTCAGAAGAACATGTGGGGCAAACAGTGTATGTCACGCTGTAATCAGTATTGCAGAAGTGAACAATGCTTTCCTGGAAACGGTTCATGCGTTTGGGGATGTGATACTCGAGATTGTCTTGATGATATATGTGATAGTTATTCTGCAGTCTGTACTATTGGTTGTACTAAGCATCGAGCGGGAAAATACTGTAACAAATGTAAGACACATTCTGTCATATACTATGTTAAGAAAGAAAGAAAAAACATACATCTACACGTACACTAAAAAATACAACTGTAAGTTAACTGCATACAGTCCGTCAGTACAACCTACTTTGAGAGGGAAATTTGATCGTTTATGTTGGATACGCAGTAAGACCGAGCAATAAGCATACATGCTAGCAGGGCTGCCACATAACCTGCACTTTAAACATTACGGCCAACCATAGCAAGAAATTAGTGGTACTTTTGCTAATTAATATTCATAATATGTAAATGAGAATTGTACCATGTGATAATAGTTTGAACTGGACTGGCTTGATATCATTAAAATCTTTAAAACCCGGAAATTATAAGTTGCCCGTCACAGAGTCCTTGTTTATAATCACTCTGATATTTCCGTAAAGTTGTCAGGCGGTCAAAATCAAAACAATGAACGCGAATTTAGTGAATTTTTCGTGTTTTCGTGAGTTTATTCTTCTTGAAATAGGGGCATTTTAACTTTACGTGGGAACCTAGAGTTAAACGACTACACATACAAGGTTTGGACTTGCTTATTCTTTGGACATTCAAGTTTCAAGTTTCATCCCGCCAACCTGTTTTTGTAATGACCTTGTTAGCCAATTTTCAACACGAAGTTTGCAAATTTGACGTTTCAGCCATTTTAGCATGTATTTTATACTGCAATGTTAAAAGCCTCTCGCTTCGATTTTTAAAATAGCTCAGGAACCTTGATTTTTGCAACGACAGTCATTATGTTTCGTTTAAATGGTGTATATTGTTGTGTATATTTATTTTCTGTCCCGGCAACCTGTCTATCACTTAAATTTAAGTAAAAACAGACATTTTTTTCAAAATTCCGTATTATTTCAATATAATTTCCGTGACCCGTATCCGATTTCTTTAGCATAATATTCAAATAAGCAAAGTGGCGTTGATTTCTGGATATGCTACTCACTACATGATACCAAAGCCAAAGCTAATACACTGTTATTATAATAATAATAATTCGCAAACAAAACAATGCCATAATATCGATTTTTAACACGTTATCATTAAAAAGAAAACCATTAGAAATACAGTTGGTAAAAGTCGTCAATGAAATGTATTAATAGTGTCGGTAGTCAACAACATATGTATTCAATACAATCAATTTCTGTCTTTTTATAAATGTTCGTCTAGATAACCTTGCATACGATGGTATACCATCACATTCACCTGAAATCGGTCAGTCATCCAGACTAGCAATTGATGGTAACAGAAGTGAAAGATCGTGTTTAAACGTGATAGGAGGAATCTCTTGGTTACAAATTGATCTGAAAGATATCAGCATATTTAACGCACTATATGTAACATTAGGTGGTATGTAGCTACACCAGATAGTAATAGAAGTGAATACATATAGGATTTCACTGATTCATACTCTTTCAGAAAGCAAGTAATACAGTGTTGTTGTTTTTTTTTAATTTTTTTTTTATTAATATTTAACATTGATTACATGTAACAATGACGCCTCTTTAGCAATAAAGGTATCTAACATCCTAAATTGATATAAGCCTACAACAGGTGTTATGTTTTTATAATAAAGAAGTCGCTTATTATCGAGTAAATGAAACTAACACTATACTATGGTGCGTCCGAATCGCTTGTCTGGATGTAGCTTCATCAGGAAAGTCAAAACAAACAACAAACTGAAACCAATGCAATGATATAACTTCCTAAACACGTGGGGAGATATACGACCAAAAAGGACAGCAGCTATAGACCAATTCATCTTACGTTAACTTAATTTCCCCGAGGAAGTTGGAACCTTGTTTTCCTAATAATTTCTAAAATTTTCAACGGAGTTTACGAAACGTATGTCATAAATTATTTTAGTACCGACGCGCCGACTACTGTGCTAATTATACCCTCGTGGACTAACGGATCCAGTGCTAGAAAATGAAGGGAAAAAAACACATACGTTTGGTGCGTCCGTAGTGTTTTTCTGGATTAACCTTCTAGAGGAACGATAAAAACCAACAAATTGAAACCCAAGAATGTATAAATATCTGAAAACGTTAGGAGTTTTATGACTAATTCATACTAAAAAGGAAAATAAAAGACTAGCCCACTTCAACTAAATTCATATGATCCACTGGCTTTATTTCTTCGTGTCATTCATGTTTTCTCGTTTGTTCGTATACTTCTGTGATTGTTTTCGATTGTTTTTGTACTGGTCCCTGGACTGTTTATATTTCCTTTCGCTACACACGTGTTTGATATCTTTAATCTTATAAGAAATAAAGACTCAAGCGACAGTATTTATATTAACCTGAAGTATCTAACGTATCTCGTATCCAGATGATATAGTTACCTTTTAAACAGATTTATGCTGGGAAAGGAAGAAAATCCAATTTGAACCATGTCCCATCAACCATTAGAAATGCGTTATACGTCTGATACTTTTCTGACGGTTATTAGTTGATCGTGTCTTTGTGTTAAACTCATAATTTAAGATATAGAGTATTAAAAACCTATTGGTTGCATTATTTTTTTTTATCTTTCAATTTTAAACTTGGCAATTTTCGTAATTGTAGATTCAATCACTAATTCAAGTAGTCATTCTATTTATGCTACCAACACGAGTGGATCTTGGGTTGGCGAAGTAGAGCTATTCAACGGAATATCAAATGGCACTGATATTTCTATAATTAATATCAACGCCGTTGCAAGATATGTGATGTATGTACCACCAGTGGTAAACGAACGGTCTCAGGTTCATGTGTGTGAAATAGAAATAGTTGGTAAGTATTAAAACTTGTAAGGCAACAGAAAGTATGTTCTTTTTAGGATTTTCGATTAAATATTTATGGGGTCAGAAGGTTGCTTATAATCGATTCTGTTACGTACTTTAATCCAATAAGTGTAACATTGCGGTTAAAACAACGAATAACGGATATATTTGACGAAGAGTACATTGTCTTACAAAAAATCTCCAAAAACGATAATAACGGAGCTCCATATTAGGAACATCCTTTAAAAACCCATTTTTACACAGATACTAGAACACACTCGTGGGTCCGTGACTCAATTAAAGTACCAACGCCTTATTTTCAGCCTGGATTTTTAGTATGCGTGTTGTCATCTGATAAAGTCATGATGATTGTAAGATGCACAGTTTTTTCTGCTTTCAAAATCTTTCTGTTTGAACCCGTCCTGGTTTTCTTACTACAATAAACTTACTATAAATTAAATTAAATTTTCTAACTGATTAACCAAAATTAATAGTGGTATTGAGGTGGAAGAAAACAGACTTATTAAATAGTGTACTATAGTGTAACAAAGATATAAAACAACTACTGGACGAATTCCGGGCTCTCCTGATACAAAAGGTATTAACAGAAGGTAACAGTAACTACAACCAGAAACATGTACATGTGACATATACTATTGGTATCGGTATCGGATTCGACCCGGAACTTGTTAATTTTTAGTTATATTAATTATGTGGAAAACAAACGAGCCTGGAATAGTGTAATTTTTAAACAACACCATTGTCCTATATTAGTTATATATAAAGTTGAATTTCGTAGTTTTTACGTCATGCCGGCTAACACATTGGACCTCGTTATTCTAGTAGTATATATATATATATAGATATAACAGAAAAAAACTAACGATAAAGGCACATGTTCAATAGATGAGTTGTGTGTACGATACAGTTTTAAAAACGCAATCATAACAATAGCCACTACACTCTATAAAGGTGACATGAACTCTTGAAAACAATTTAGATTTTACCATTCACGTGTAACGAAGAAGGAAGATAGACATATGTGCATACATTTACCGTCATATATCATAACTATCGATGTTCTTTAAAAACAAATGAGCAAGGTTTCAGGAGTTTCAGTATAGAGGTATTATCTGTGAATATTCTAGATCTACTTCAATCAACAGACAACAACAAACACAAACAATCGTTCTTTGTTCCTTAATTAAATTCCCTTTTTTTTTTAAATTATCGAGATGATTAGCTGAAACTAAATAAAAACGAGTTACACCAATTAACAACTTCATTTCACGCACTGATTTGTTTGTATACAGTATACAATGGTTTTTTCCAGGGTGTCCACCTACACAGTATGGTTTCATGTGTAATATATCATGCCCAGACAACTGTCATGGACCATGTGACCTAGACACAGGGAAATGTATTTTTGGATGTTTGAACGGTTGGATTGGTGAGAGATGTGAGACAGGTATAGCAAAGTAAATGTATTTTCCGGGGGAAACAGGGTAAACCATAAAAAGGGAATATTTTGTTGTTTATAAGTAAAGAGAAAGCCTATTTGTTTACTCGCTTAAACATTTAAGGTTTCAATATTTTTATTTTAAGAATTGAGACCAAAAGTTGCATGCTACATATTATGTTTTTATCGTTTCAACTGACAGATAAATTCAGTAATTTGTAAACACATTTAATAAGATAATATTTCTAAATATCTGGCAAATAAAAACTGAAGCTCAGATCCAATACACCAGCAATGATGTCATAATGACGTCATACAACAAACTCATGATAAAAATCTTAATTGTGACATGATAGTCAAATTCTGATAGTTGTTGCTTCAGACGATATTGACAACAAGACATAGACCAATCTTATTCGTTGTAAGGACATGTATCACAGCCTATACATCTTTTATAATAATTTGTCGAGGGTTGTGGCCAATTCTTTGCAGAACATACTTTTTCAAAAGGAATTGAAACAGGAACCATGCCTCAAAACTTGTGAAATATCATTGGTTTGAATTTATTTACATTGTCAGCATACAACGAATAAACAGAAAAATAAATGTTTTATTTTCTTAATTTGCATATTTTAAGTCTTGAATGTTGGTTTTAGAGATGGTATTAAGTCCAATCTTTAAGGAACATTTTAAACTTTCCTGGCTTTTCTCCTGTAATAAACAAGTAATGATATGAATAGTAATAATAACAATAACAAGAATGTGTCCATAGTACACGAATGCCCCACTCACACTATCATTTTCTATGTTCAGTGGACCGTGAAATTGGGGTCAAAACTCTAATTTGGCTTTAAAATTAGAAAGATCATATCATAGGGAACATGACTTTTTTTGTGTACTAAGTTTCAAGTTGATTGGACTTCAACTTCATCAAAAACTACCTTTAACCTGAAGCGGGACAGACGGACGGACGAACGGACGAACGACCGAACGCACAGACCGATAAACATAATGCCCCTAGGTGGTTCATACAAATATTAATAATTACAATAATAAAATGATAATGATAATACATACATTTTTTGTGTAAGTTAGTTTTAACTGCGTACTTTATTTTGCCTTTTAAATTGTTTTGATTTGAGCGTCACTGAGGAGTCTTTTGTAGACGAAACGCGCGTCTGGCGTACACAATTTCGATCTTGGTATCTATGATAAGTTATTTACCACTGGGTCGATGCCACTGCTGGTGGAGTTTTCTCACCGAAGGTATCACCAACCTAGTAGTCAGCACCTCTCTGTTGACTTGAATGATCATTGATATAGTCATAATTAACTGTTTACAAAACTTTGAATTTTCGAAATACTAAGTCTTTTCTACTCCAGGAAGAGATTACCTTAGCTGTATTTGGCAAAACATTTAGGAATTTTGGGTCCTCAATACTCTTTAACTTCGTACTTTATTTGTCCTCATAATTTTTTTATTCGAGCGTCACTGATGAGTCTTTTGTAGACGAAACGCGAGTCTGGCGTACAACATTTCAATCCTGGTATCTATGATGAGTTTATTTACAACTACTGGGTCGATGCCACTGCTGGTTGTTTTTTCCCCTTGTTCGTTTTCCCCCTGGTTGTTTTTTTCTACTCGAGGATATCACGAGCCCAGTAGTCAGCACTTCTGTGTTGACATTAATGATCATTGCTATGGTCATATTTATAAATTGATTGTTTACAAAACTTCGAAATTTCGAAAAATTAAGGCTTTTCTACCTCAGGAATAGATTACCTTAGCTGTATTTGACAAAGCGTTTACGAATTTGGGGTCCTAAATGCTCTTCAACGTCGTATTTTATTTGGTCTTTACATTTATTTTTGATTTGAGTGTCACTGATGAGTCTTTTGTAGATGAAACACGCGTCTGGGGTACAACATTTCAAACCTGATATCTATGATGAGTATTTTTTTCAGAAAACTGGGTCGATACCACTGCTAGTGGAGTTTTTCTTTCCGAGGGTATCACAAGCCCAGTAGTCAGCACCTTTCTGTTGACATGAAATATCATTGATATGGTCATAATTATAAATTAGTTGTTCAAATTTTTGAAATGCTAAGGCTTTTCTACCTCAGGAATAGATTATCTTAGCTGCATTTAGCAAGATTTTTAGGAATTTTGGGTCATCAATGGTCTTCAACTTCGTACTTTATTTGGTATTTAAAATATTTTTGATTTGAGCGTCACTGAGGAGTCTTTTGTAGATGAAGCGCGATCTGGCGTACACAATTTCAATCCAGGTATCTATGATGAGTTTATTTACAAGCACTAGGTCGATGCCACTGCTGGTAGATTTTTTCAAAGGTATGAGGTATCACCAGTCCAGTAGTCAGTACTTCTGTGTTGACATGAATTATCATTGATATGGTCATACTTATATTGATTGATTGGTGATTGTTTTACTCCTCGTCAGCAGAAAAAGGCCATATCACAGCGAGACATAATCATGATAATATAAATTTACTGTTTACAAAACATAGAATTTTCAAAAAACTAACCTTGTCTACCTCAGAAATATAGAATACCTTAGCTGTATTTTGCAAAACTTTTAGGAATTTTGGGTCCTGAATGCTCTTCAGCTTCGTACTTTATTTGGCCTTTTATTTTTTTTTTAATTCGAGCGTCACTAATAAGACTTTTGTAGACGAGACGCGCGTCTGGCGTACAAAATTTCAACCTTGGTATCCATGATGAGTTTATTTACTGTATCTAAATTATTCATATTACAATGTTTAATGCTTATTTGAAATGCATATCGCTACCAGCTATGCTATCTAAACTTTTAAATTCTTAAACTACATTTTCATGTACGCGTCTTTCTTAATTAATCTTTAGTACTTTAAAATAAAAATATGGATATTGCCATTTCAACAACTATCGACCAAAAGACAAGGATATAAATAAATGCGGTTCACCGCACTGCCTTCAACAATTAATAATAATCAAAACTCATACCGTTCAGTAACCTATAACGGGCTCCGGCATGACAAAATGTAAGAGAATTCCGAAGAGGGGACATAAACGAAAAGAAGTGATAGCATAATCAACCAAACGAACACCACAATAGCACAGACTCTTGACTTGGGAACGGAACTTGCATAATGTGGCGGAGTTTAATATGCCTAGTCGAAGTCAGGAGCATGTAGCTCAGTCGTTGACGTTGTTTGCTGTTTGTCATATTTGTTTTATTTTCATTAATCGTTAGTTTTTAGTTTTTCTTGTTTCACTTTTTTTCATCTCATCCCCGAAATTTTAACATTAACGTAATTTTGACTCTCGTGGACAGTTGTCTTATTGTCAATCATACCACACCCACTTGTTTTTTTTTTGTATTGTGAGCATGAGCCCTCATTCATCCCCTCGCATCATGAACATGGGACAATGGTGTAATATCACATATATATTATAAATGTTTTGATTAATTTTCTAAATAAAAATAATTGTAATTGCAGCCTGTGACGATTGGTATTTTGGAAATAACTGTGAAGGAGAATGCAATTGTCGTTCTCAACCATGCAATAAAAATTCTGGAAAATGCCCTGACGGAGGGTGCAAAATGGGTTGGTACACCCCATCATGTAACAAAGGTAAAAACGTGAAAATAGTTTATGCTATGTTTGATGTATGCACTTTTATGCAGCTATGTAATAGACTATGGGATTATAGTTTTATATTTTTTAAATTTTCGAAGGACAGTGGATGATAAATTCAAGCACATATCTAAACATTGATCAGTGACCTCCACCAACCCAATGTTAACACAATATCGAATTATTTTAAATACAGATTTTTTTTAAGTGGAAATTAAGACTGTTCCATCTATATAAAATTGCAAGTGACAAAGTATTTGTCTGTACTTCCTTCGTTGTAGCCAATTCTTGCCCGAAATGAAAAAGTTTACACATTACAAAACGTATCTTTGACTATTCCGGATCACTTGCCTTTCAGACCACCCTGGATTATTATTGGGGTCCGTTTCGCAAAGTGTTTAGTTCGTTGTTTAAAAAAAAGTTAAAGGCTTTTATCTTCTGAATTTTATACGGGAAATAAGTGTCATATGTCAGTAGTAATTAATGCATACTCTTTTCATTGGTGTAAATCTTTTTCATTTATTTGCTTTATTGAAATAACAATGGGGGAAGCAAAGAGGCTTTCTTTCAATACAATTAAGCAAAAACCTTATCAGACATTTCAGATAAGATTACTTCTAATATCTCTTAAGAATTTCAGAATAATCTGTCATAAAACTGTTCTAAATGTTCATGCATGGAATAGTTGTACCCTAGGAAGATGTAGAAAAGTACTAGTTAGCTGGATTGTACCTGCAAGTTATAGTTCAGATAAAATAGAACTAAATAGGAAATCTATTAAATCATGTAAATGTACAGTCATGGATGTGTGTTTTATAAAAAGAAGATGTGGTGTGATTGCCAATGAGACTACTCTCCACAAGAGACCAAATGACACAGAAATTAACAACTATAGATCACTGTACGTCCTGCAACAATGAGCAAAGCCCATACCGCATAGTCAGCTATTATAGGCCCCGAAATGACAAGTGTAAAACAATTCAAACGAGGAAACTAACGGCCTAATTTATGTACAAAATAATGAACGAAAAATAAATATGTAACACAGTAACAAACGACAACCACTGAATTACAGGCTCCCGACTTGGGACAGGCACATATAGAATGTGGCGGGGTTAAACTAGTCTGTTGGCGCCAAACCCTCCCCCTTGTTTTAGTTCTGTTATTTCTCCTTTTTCGTAATACAATCTTTTGTATTGATAAATAAATGGTTATGTATCATCGTGTAAAATTTTGGCCTGCGCTCAGTGGCGTAGCTAGTCCATTTGTAAGTGTACGCCCGATACTCGGCGAGGCGTCTGAGGGACCAAAGCGGGTCCAGGGCAGAGGACCTCCTGGTATGGGGTTGATGGGGCGAAGCCCCAGAAACTTGCGTAATCGAGAAAGAACCAGTTACTGTAAAATGTGTTTATGATACTAAACCCCTAACGGGAGGGATTGTGCTTGATTTTTATATGATGAAGACATAATCTTTCTATCAGTTTAATTGAGGTCTGGAGCTGGCATGTCAGTAACTGCTAGTAGTCCTTTGTTAATTTATATATCATTGTCATTTTACTTAGTTTCTTTTGTTACCTATTCTGACATCGGACTCGGACTTCTTTTAAAGTGAGTTTAACTGTGCGTATTGCTGTGTGTTTGTTTATTCTACATATGGCTAGAGGTATAGGGGGAGGGTTGAGATCTCACAAAACATGTTTAACCCCGCCGCATTTTTGCGCCTGTCCCAAGTCAGGATCCTCTGGCCTTTGTTAGTCTTGTTTATTTTTTAATTTTAGTTCATTTATATGTTTTGGAGTTTAGTGTGACGTCCATTTTCATTGAACTAGTACACATTTTTGTTAAGGGGACAGCTGAAGCCCTCCTCCGGGTGCGGAATTTTCTCGCTGTGTTGAAGACCCATTGGTGGCCTTCGGCTGTTTTCTGCTCTTTGGTCGGGTTGTTGTCTCTTTGACACATTCCCCATTTCCATTCTCAATTTCAATAAAAAGAGATGTGGGGTATAACAATCAATCTACAAAAATCCAAAAGTTTAGAGAAAATAAAAAAGTCTCCATTTCAATGTTGTCGTTCTACATGTATTAATTATTTTGACTTCATCTAAATTTTCACCCATTTTTATGCGCAAATTCCGTTAATAGACACATGAAATAAATAATTTTCATAGATTTTCAGGTGAAATATAAAATTCTTAAAGAGTTCCGTGGAACCCTGGGTCTCTCCTGGGATTGCTTCTGTCTGTGTAAAAGTGTAATGTTTACTATAAAAAGTTATCTATTCATCAGACAAATACAGGATTTAAAAACAAAAACTTTTTCTTTAGATGATTTTTCTTAATCTTGAAGATATTAAGCTTATTCCCAAGATTCATAACAATCTAAGAAGGTTTACAAATTTATCATGTAAAAAAAATAAATAAATAATCCCAGACTGTCTGTTAATTATAAAAAAAAAATAAGTCAGTAAAATACTTAAAAATAAAAAAAAAATAATTTCAAAATTATCTCTTTTAAAATCATTAAAAAGCTTCTGCCAAATGTTCATATAATTCCATGAAGGTTTGACAAAGTAATTGATGTGTAACAAACTTTAACCTCAAAATGTATCTACTTATTAACTATAAAATAACATAGTCCTTTTATCAGTAAAATACGAAAAATAAAAAAAAAAATATTTTCATTATGCTCTGGACACCCCCTAGTAGTAAGTCCATTTGTCACCATAAACTGTTTACACAGAGATATGTCTCGCCTTTTTGCTATTTTGATAGTAAAAGGCAAATGTTAAAATTAAAATAGCAATACTTTAACATGTAAGTTATGCAAAATATTCAAAGTCAATGAACCATGACTGAAAATACAGGGCAAAACAATATCCACGGAAATGAAGTACCACTGCTTATACAACTGCATACCAAATATATTTAACCTACAACTAGTGGTTCCCCATACACTGATCTAATCACAAACTGATAATGTAAACTAAACAAAAGTTTCAAATTAAAAGTCAATAGACTATGACTGACTCTGAGGGGAAGGGGCAACATAATTTCCATGGAAATGAGATGTGCCAATGTTAGTGCAACTGTATACCAAATATCGTTGACATGACACTAGTGGTTTCCCATAAACAAACCTAATCACAAAGTAATGCATGTAAACTAAGCAAAAGTTTCAAAGTCAATAGACCATGACTGAGGGGGGAAATGAGATGTGCCAATGCTCATACAACTGCATATCAAATATCATTTGCCTACCACTATTGGTTCCTCATAAACTGACCTAATCACAAATTTATACATTGTTGACGCCGCCGACGACGACGACACAGGAAACAGCATACCTATGTCTCACTTTTTGACTCTGTCAAGGCGAGACAAAAATAAAAATAAATATTTATAAAATTTTGATCTTAAATTTGGTTTTAAAAAGCTTCTGTCCAACTCCCGTAAAATTCAATGAAGGTCTGACAAAGTTATTGATTAAATTATTTTTTCTCCTAAATTCATGTGTACGCCCGGGCGTTTTGACGTAAACGTAGCTACGCGCCTGGCGCTTACAATTGCAACAATTCATAGATATAAAAAAACAAACTAATAACAACATGTATATAAATGAACAGTACTAAACAATTAAATCATGAAAAGTAACAACAATATACCATTATATGTTATTTAAAATAAAATAAATCAAATGAAATAGAGACATACATAGTTAAATAAAAAAGAAAGAAGAAGGTAAGTAATAAATAGACAAATAAATAAATATAAGGACGAATAAATAAAACGTATACGATTTTTAAGATAAACCAAATTGGTAACTCTATAAATAGAGCTGTCAGGATCTGTTCTAAAGTAGAAGTGCCAGAATCAGTTCTAGACTGGACCTGTCTCAATATGTTCTAAGGAAGAACTGCCAAAAAATGTTCGAGGATAGATCTGCCAAACATGATTCTAGGGAAGAATTGTCAGACTCTCGTAGATAAATTGTTTAAATACAATTTGTTTAAGAAAAAACATATTTGTTTCATGAGGGAAGAAGAGCGAGGGTTTCAACATAGAGTTTTAAAAATGTTCCTGTATGTTATTGAAAACAATTGGTTGTTTTTTATCAATGTAATAAAAAGATGGCTTGTCCCACGAAGATGAATGGACGTTACCTTATTGATTTAAAGAACTTTGCTAATAATGTCACGATTCGCAAGCTCAAACAGTGTAACAATAAGGAGAAAAAGGGATATTGAAAATGATTGATTGATTGATTGATTGTTGGTTGCTTAACATCCAGGGACAAATAATTCATGCATTTTCAGGACGATACCAAATTCACAATAAATACAATAGGTAGGTCCTGTAATAGAAGTCGTCCGAGATGAACACCGGGGCAATTTACAGTGCCATTGGAAAAAAGGGACAGAAATTTTGCCTTGCAACAGGCCACCTACATACCCTTCAGAGAGTTGTTGCAAAGGCTCTTAACGTGCAGAGAGCGTGGCGCTCTCTCTACACGAGGCATTGTAATTAATGTCCCCATTCTGAACAGACGTGACTGAGTACTTATACATTCCGCACAGCCAAACGGACGGCCCACTTTGGCGAGGGTTTTACGGCCGATCGAAAGAAGACCAAAGTGACCATGGGGTGATTTCGGAAATGAATAGTCTGGACTGGAACTAACTGTAAAAATAATTTGTCCAAGACATAATGAAATAAATATTTTGTCTTACAAAATGCAAAACTGTGCAAGAAATAGTTGTGTTCAAAAAGTGAAAATAATTTTCGCGCTAAATAATAAACCGTACTATAAACCGGTGTAAAATGAATATTCTATCAGCAAACAATCCACCCTCGCACTAAAAAAAATGGTCCACAAGGCTTTAAATTTAATGTTTTTAACTGAGCAATTTTTGAATTTTTGTCATATAAATAGGTAAATAACTTAATTCATAATATTATTATAATAATTTTCATTCAATATATGTAACTTCCTTGAATATGCATGATAAAATCCACGTTCACAAGGGGGCCTCGGTGGCCCAGTGGTCTAAGTAGTCGAACTACTGTATCACTAGCCGATCAACACTGAGGTTGTGAGTTCGAATCCCGCACGGGGCAGGTGCACTCGACTCCAATCTTAATTGACTAGGATTGTCAGTTTTCCTACCGAAGGTCGGTGGTTCTCTCCGGGCACTCCGGCTTCCTCCACCACTAAAAACTGACCGCCACAAAATTGCACAATAGTGTTGAAAGTGGCGTTAAACACCAATCAATCAATCAATCAATCCACGTTCACAATATCTAGTTAAGTGTACTCTTAGTCCACACAAGGTCTACATTGACTATCGACTGCATGTAGTGAAAACCTGTGTTAAACTACATGTAAACATTGATTTTTATCAATGGGATAGTAATAAGAGTTTAGTTTAAGTGTCGAGTACACTTACACCACACCGAGTTTAGCTCAATGTGAACACGGCCTTATTTGGAAATAACTTAAAGATATTTAAAGAGGGTTGATTGAGATCTTAATTTACAAAAAGCCCACGACCGCAAACTAACTGACCATAGATGAATTCGTTGAACATGTCTTTTGTTTTGTCAGTTATATACACAGTAATGCGTTTGATTAAAATATTACAATGAAATGAACATCATTTTACAATGTGTACATACAGTTTCAAGTGAATTATGTCATTCGTTGCTTGCCAATAATTTTGTTTATATCGTTTGCTTATATACAGTGCTGTGAACTTTTGATCTCATCTATCAATGGTGATCATGAACAGTTTTTTGGGTGTTAATCGATATGACGGTAGGAATGTTTTCTGCATTACCAAGAAAGTAATACGCCAACTGTTTCTTCTGTAGAAGTACATAGACCATTTAAAGCCTTATTTACAAAAGCATAATAATGGGTTTAATTAAACCATATTCTCCCCCTTCGATAATAGCGTTGTACTTTCACGGTTACGATTCTAAACACGTGCATGTCACTTTCGCTTCAGAATGTAGTAATGGTAGATTTGGATTTAACTGCGAAGGAAGTTGTAAGACATGCATCAACATGTCTTGTGATACTGAAGAAGGAAACTGTACAAATGGTTGCATTCAGTATCATAGTGGTCCTCGATGCCAAATTACATGTATGTTACTATATGAAGAGTGGTGAATATTCGGTCATATTATTATATTTACCTAGATATAACATTGTATCCTGCAATTGAGATTTCTTCTATACAAATACAGGTGTACAGATAATACGAAGCGATAAACGAATACTAGACTTTTATAGTCTCCTGGTATCTGGCTTCTGTTGCGTGCATACGGTTATGTTTAAGTTACGGTTTACATCACAGTAAATTTTGGGGTTCTCATTGCGGTTCGCGTTTAAGTTATGTCGATTTCATTCAAAAGCAAATTCAATGATTGGGTTTAAACACAAAACTGTACGTTTGAGCTCAATGTTAAAATGCAGGATAAAAACAATAGTCGTACAGTGTAGAAAAATACAAAATTCATTTGTACTCGCTACGAAACAGAATTAAAGCTCAGCGAGCCTTGCTTTTCGTTCTGTTTCTAAAGCTCGTCAAATAAATTTTATATTTTCCTACACTATACGGATATTGTATATGTATTTACAGTTTTTGAAAACAAAAGTTCGATTTCAAGTGATATTTAACATTTTGAAATCCATGATATCTACACAATATTTTCTTATACCTTAACATGATCATAGTCGGTAAGAAGTAATATAAAAATAAAATATATGTTGAGACAGATATTGTGTTGTAGTTCGGGATTTAAAACAACCCAAATATTTTCAGTAACAATTCGTGTCGGATAGTTATAGTATTAATGATCATGGAATTCAGAAGAATATTGTATTGCAAATACGTAAGCACTGTTGTTTATAAACGTTGGAAAAAGGAACACTTTCGAGCGCACGACATTTGTAAAGTGTTAATTTCAATTGTTGCATTGTAGTTGTTTGTTTGCCTTCTTCATTGTTCACTGAGGTAAAAGACTAGTAAGTAATTTTAAAAGCTACAAGACAAAAACAAAATTTGAATTGTATTTCAGATTATGCCCCATCTACAGAAAACCAAGCAAGTGAAACAGTTGCTTTTTTTGGAGGAGGCGTTTCTGCAGCAATTTTGGTTATTGTTCTAGTAGTGGTGATATTTTTGCTCTATAAGTAAGTTGTCACCTGAAATGACAAATGATATTTAAATATGACACAAAAAAAATGTTATCTATAACACTGAAATGATAATCTCTCTCTCTTTTTCTTTGCGATATTTGTTTGTTTTTTTACATAGTAAAAATTGGTTCCATGGATGATTTTGTTATCACGGTATTTCTTATTTAAATGTTTCCTCTTGTGTGGTAAATATAATCAGGAACATATATATTGACGGGACTTGACACTACCTGATTGTAGTCGATTTTATCGTCGTGCCATAGTTAATAAAGATACGATACAGAAACGGACATGTGTTAAAAACGGACTCGCTATTATCCTAATAATTTCTGATATTATCAATAAAATGTCATTCAAACTAGTTTTACAGTGATGCTAGTGTATCAAACTTGTATTCTGTCACTTCAAATTTGTTAAAATCGAAAGCATTTCATCACAGAATTGTGCAGAATGCAAACCAGGTAATACAAAAATGGCGGCTATGCCGCGATGATTTACAAATTCCCAAACTATTGTAAAACACTTCACATCCAATAAATCAAACTTATTTTGGTAATTTTATATAACAAAATATATCTACTAAATGATAAAACTTGTATTTATTTACAAGTAGAGTTATGTGGTTTATTAGTTGAGCAGTTCTGATAGTTTTTCAGTCAGACGCTACCAAAATCCGTAAATCTCGGGAAGTCTCGGGGAGTCCGAGATTTTATCAATTTTATACTGAAAAGCGTATCAGATTCATTTCCCGTTAGATATACTGTTCCCAGATATAATCAATCACACAAGATGAAGATAAATTATTCCCCTTTAAAATATTGAAAACTGCGTGTTTGTTTTTTTGTTGGTCCAATATTAATACATTTTGAGGAATCATAGTGTAATACAATTTTGCCCACGTAAGAAGGTCCTGTGGCATACTCAACGCTAATTAAAAGCACGTTTTGAGTTTATAGTTTTTGGGTGAACGTATTACTTTATGATTAATGTTAAGCAATAAATGTTTATTTTGAAATTTTGCTTTTGATGTTGTTCTTTATTCTAATTTTAGCATAGATATGCAAAAATATAAGACATTACCAATACAAAAAGAATTCCAGACGGATTTTGAATCCACAACTAAAACGAAGAAGGCAGTTTTGAAATTTTGCATGAAATTATCTCCAGCATCACAATTCGTTTCGTTTGAGCAAACTGCGATAATGTTGACATTTTATGTCTTAATCGTCCTTACATACTATTATACTAATGTAGTAATGTAGTATATGTAATACTGCATGTACTGCATTGATAACTTGATAGATTTTTGTAAAATATGGTTAGCAACATTGTTGTTTACTCCACTTATGCGTATACATGTAATTCCAAATCTGTTTTTAGCAATATGTAGACATTGCTTAGTTAAATATTTTGTTTGAAGGTTTTTCTCCTTTATAAGTGTTTGTTACTAGAGACAAATAAATATAAAAATCATTAAACTATTGAATAAACAAAATGTTTACTACCTGATCTCTACATTATGTCTTCAGAACACGTTCTTTTATTTATATTGATAATGATGATGTAATATATAGGTTGCATACTATGGAGGTGGACTCTCGGTCATACAACTCTGCTCAGTACTCAAATTACAAATGTTGTTTTCGAAAAACAAAATTTAGTGTATTTTGATTGGTTAAATTCTGAATCTGATTACAACAATCATACTCGAAATTTTAATGACCGCAAGATCTGATCTATATATATAAAGTTTATATTTTAAAAAGAAAAAAAAACAACAACATATAATCCGTATCACAAATATACATTTTTGTTTTGTAGAAAGAGATCAACTACTGAAGAAAACCATGCAGAAGATGAACTCACAAAATTAGGTGATAAGGAAACTTCTATATAATATATATATAATAGCATCCTGTAATTATACTGAAGAGATGAGTAGATGATAATTCCTGTTCACTTAAAAATACTTTGTGTATTATGTCAGATGTCATTGTTTAATTCCTACGAGAAGGTAACACCTCCCGAAACGAAGGCTGGTTTCATCAGCTATAGTTAGAGGAGGAATAAGGCGTCTGCGCAATGCTAGGCGGTCTTGTCGTAGAAGTATGAAGTGAAAAGTACAGGTTCCAGCCCCGGTCGGGGAGGAAGTAAAGAATCAGATCTACTCTAACATTGTTAGGTTGATTTTCTAGGCACTTTGTATATATATATATATATGATAAGCAAGAAACCTACAAAATATAATTTTATTACATTGCTCCAAAAACAAAACTGCTTTACTAGTTCCTCCTTCAATAATAAAGACGAAGCTAGTAAAGAATTGTTATACACGCGTAATAACTGTTTGTTCTAATAATTCTATGATAGTCGAAATAACTGGCTGTACTCAACTTATTGATGAGTGACATTTGCAAAACATGTAATTTAATGATGATCCTGAAAAAGTCATTTAAATTAAGTTTAAAAAAAATTCTTACCACGATGTTTTTGACTTTAATAGCTTCGACTTTCAAAGCCTTTACAAACAAGACATATAATTCTTCTAAAATGTCGGTACAACGAAAGAATACCTTGATACCACAACTTTTTTTAAAACATATTTTTATTTTTAAACACTAAATATCAATAAAAATATGTGTTATTCCGTCTAAATCAATCGAGACGTAAAATTAAGCAAATAATTTGGTGCAGGGTTTTGTCTTAGAACGAGTGAATTGCTTTTTTTCCTCACTTTATTGGTTATACTGCTTATAAAGTAATAGCTTGGAAGTATAAATTTTGTATTATGTTTCCTGTTTACACTTCATAGAATACATAATTTTTGTCATTTTCAGGTCATAAGACTTCAAAGTCTCAAGATGATTGTACCATTTTTGATTCCAAAACAAATTTTGATGATGTTGCGGATACCATTCCTAACGTCGACGGTACGAACAGAACTATGTGTGAAGAAACAGAGGAAATACCGACATCAAGTGATGATGACACAAATGTATACACCAATGTACCTTCACAACCAGCTGTTCGCAAACACAAAATACAAGTCGAAGATCTTATGAAATATATCAAAGAGAAGCAAGCATGTGGAGGATTCAAGGAGGAATTTGAGGTATGTACTTTTATTAGATTAAGTTTACCGATGTTCACATCTTGGTTTTTGTAATACAGTAATACAGCGGGATAACTTCATAAAACATTTAATTTTTAGCATACGCTTATTGAAAAAAAGAGCTATTTAAGGATACCAGGATTATAATTTGGTAAGCCAGACAAGCTTTTCGTCTTCTTAAGACTCATTAGTGGCGCTCGAATTAAAACAGTTGCACAGCCAAATAAAATTTTACGAAGTTGAAGAGCATTAATAACCGAAATTCCCGTTTTGTGACAAAAACACCAAAAGTAATCTATACCTTGTGGAAGAAAACTTAGGACCTTGAATAATTTTACATTTAAATTACAGTAAATTTACAGAAAATTCATTTAGCACATCAATGATATTTCATGTTTACACCAAAGTGCTGACTTCTTGGCTGAGCTTGTGTTAAGAGACCCCTCACTGGAATCTCGCGATAAATGACACATGCGACTTATATCAATAACTACAGTTATATTTTAATTCCGTATTATCAAAGATTTGTATTATCAAGTGTATACAGTAACTGTTAGATTAAATGGAAAAACAGAAACACTATTATATTTTAAAAGTTTGATCGATAGTAACAAATATACGTGTATCATTCAAAGATTTTACCCAAAGGCCTTATTCATCAACACACTGAAGGTTCAAAGGAGGAGAACAAAGTTAAAAATCGTTTCCTCACAACATTTCCGTGTAAGTATACATTGAGATAGTTTCATTCAAATTAGCACTAATGGGTTTTTTTTAATTATGAACTGTTAATCGAAAAGTCAGTTCACTGGTATTTCTCTATGCAGTTACATATATATGTATATAAAAATCTGATTAAAATAAGATCTAACACGGGCGACAAACAAATTTAACGAACAAAGTGAAAGAGCTGATTTAATCATAATATAAGCAAGTAGCTAAAATATCAACCTTAATAAGTGCCCGTCTTTTTCCGGCAGATTTTATATTTTTATTCGAAACAATGCAAGTTGAAATCCCTTTTAGATAATTAATGATATCTCAGGTACATGATGTTATACGTACTACAGCGTTTTTTTGTTTCTGACGTACATACTATATACCAAATGTTTGCAGTTCCTTATAAAAACTAACGATGCTGTTTTTGTTTTTCTAATTTTTCCCTTAAAAGTCCGGCTATTTGTAGAAAAAGCCCAGATTTGAAGAACCGACGGTGATACATTGGTCGGTTACATATACACTTACTATTATGCATTTGCAATTCCACATGTATTACAAAAACAAATCAATAAACAAGACGAAATCGTGCATACAACCAATAAGGAAATATTTGATTTTTTATATTAGTTATATGGGTATTAATACAATATACAAAGACACTTTATATTTTCACTGATAAACATTTATAAGAGGCAATAGTATTATACCGATGTGAGAAACTCGAAAATTCATTTTTGATATACAAATTAAAATAAAAAAACTTCTTGAAATACATCAATTTAATGTGATAAACATATTGATAATTGTTTAAAACATATTAAATTTTCTACGTAAATATATATTTAGTCTGTTTCACTAGTTAGGATGAAAAACAAATCACACATTTTGAAAAAAATACCTGTATTTAGAAAACAATAGATTTTCCGCTTGAATGATTCAGGGCTTTCTAAAGCAAACACGCATTTTCTATACCTGCAAATTAAAATATGATCACATCTATCTTATTTTTTGTAAGTCCATTTTTTAACGTTTCAGATAATCTTTAGTAATGAATGACATTGTGCACTTCTTAATATATGTTTCACTCGAATAATTGTTGGTGTGTTTTACAATCTGCCTAGGCTTTCTATGGATATGGAGGAACATTGGTTGAAGAGCGTAAAATACTGTTGCAACGCAAGCATGTATTAGAGCATACATTTGTATGATAGTATAAATGTAATAAATCCAATAGAGTACACACATTCGTGCTTTCTGAATGTTTCTATAATCAAATAAACGATTGTGATGCTACATGTGCTAGGGAAAATGAATTATAGTCAATTAATACAATACCCATGTCTAGTAAAATGCTTCAAAACTTGCTATTTGAATCAATTGTAATATCATATGGTAATTAAAAGGTAAACCCAAAAGCCCAATATTTGAATTTCCTCCCCCCCCCCCCTCCTTTCCCCCCTCCCCCCTTAAAAAATGTATTTGAAATCTAAAATAAAAAACAAAACAAAACAGAATCCAATGAAAAGCCTATAATATCTGTAAATGCAAACATATTTTGTAGATGACCACTCACGTGTTGTACTCACAGGAGACACGAAGCACGATTACATCAACGCCAGTTACATTGACGTATGTTAATTAATTTATTTATTTGCCTGTATTGATGAATATGTTTGTATGTTTTATTCAACTTAAGATTTTTTCTTGTTCTCTTGATACCTTCTGTTTCTTTTATCTCAGTTTTATGATTATGATATGGCATAAAAGAGTCAATACAATCAAATTTGTGTTTCTTATAAGTAAAATAGCGAGTGAGATTTGGATATCGCTTGATATCAACTCAAATTATTTAATCAAAATATAATATAAACGAGCATTTGCGATATCCACTTCTCAAAAAGATTAGTTAAACCTATTTATCTGATGTGTACACTTATCCTTGTGTTAAACAGAAATCCGGCAAAACTTTGTTCTAGTCTTTTCTTCCGAAGCAATTGTTTAAATCATACATTACAAACTTGTGAGTTTTAATGTCCCTTTGGTATCTTTCGCCACTCTTTAGGCATAATTCATATCAGACTCCGTTCAGTGTAATACAAGAACGAAAGATCTCTCCGTGGGGTAAACAGAAAACAGGCCACATCAACGAGAGCATGTATTTTCAAGCTTAGCAAATACTTTTAATACAAATTAATTACATAATTCAAGATTAGGAGAGGTATAAAACTGTTTATTTATATAAATCGACTTAAATTACACCATGTCCTGCTTTTGCAACACGATATGCTGTAAAGACGTATACACGGAAACACACCATTTTTACTATTTTGAATGACTATTTTCAGAGCTATAACACAGAAAAATCATACATAGCATCACAAGGTAGGTATCATATACGACAATACCAAAGTCCCAACATAAAAAATGTTACTTGTACTGTGGTGTGTATTAGTTTGAACATTATGATAGTTATTTAATGTCATCAGTTAATTTTGATTTGTGCGCTATTGATATGATTTTGAAAATTAAACGACACCTTTAATGATTTGATGAGATATTTGCCTCTTAATTTTCGTGACATGTTATTGTTATTCATTCATATGTTGAAACGGATGCAAAAAGTGAAGAAGGACCTGCTTACCTATCCGGAATTGCTGAAATTCCCCCAGTGTGTTTCGGGTTCGTTGTTGCGTAGTGTTTTAGTTTCTATGTTGTGTTTTATGTTTTGTGAACATATAGTCTTTTCGTCTCCTTTGGTTTTTCGCAATGGCGTTGTCACTTCTTTTTTGTAAAGATTCAAGACGATATAGAGCTTGAAATACTGTATTGACACCTCTCAATCGTTGAGGACTATTGAATATGGCACTCTTTATGGTTGTATGGTTGTTATTGTCGTTGGGTTGCCGTTTCATTGACGTATATCCCGGATGATCTGTTATTCACGCATATCATTTTTTCATCTGTAAAACATTTAGTATTATTACAAAAACAATTATCTTTTAAAATGGAAAAAAGAGCTCATTCTGTTATTTTACTAATAATGAACAAAGATGTTAAATAGTTTTTTCAACTGTAAAAATATCTAGCATTATTGAATATATAAGATTTGTATTAGTTTTTTTATTGAAAAAGCAAAGTCAATCAGTTTTGCAGTTAGGATGTTGTTTTGCATGAAGGTAACTCTTTGTGTTTTTTTTTCTTTTCTTGGTTTTGATTGACGATGAATTAAGGTAAGTTCGACCTGTAGGGTAAAGCTACGTATTGATATACAAATAATCCGAGTATCTTAAATTTTCATTGACTTAAATTGTCTTTTAACCGTTATTTTAATACGTGATATCCAAGTAGATATTCGTTTATTGTAAAAGCTACCTAGAGAGAAAACATACGTGTAAGACAACAGGTAGCATGGATAAGGCCGTAGCCAAAATGAAAACAAAACAGTCAATGCAACATCACAAAACTGAACAATAAAATCTCAACAAAAACCGGGCGTATTATAAGGTGATCAGGAATGGTAAACAGATCTTGCTCCACTAGTGGCATCCGTCGTCTTGCTTATGTCAATTTAAAAATATTCGGTGACAAGTGGAATTCGATATTGTTTCAATCGAGGAAAAGAAGTCGGAATTATGACTACGACTGTTATCGTCTATAACACGGATATTCTGTGAGGATATACAAAAATGATGATTGCAAAACTTTCGAAGGGATGGCTTCTTTTTTTACCATTAATAACCAAAAATAACTCCTGGTTCAATAGCTTTCGTGTAAGCAACAACCTTTTTATCACGGAAATCTTAATATGTTATGTGCAAGCTCTGGAATATCATATCAAAAAGGAGATACATACTTCATGAATGTAGGAGATGTTAGCTTTATTCTTAACATGCAACTCGTAAATCTTGCTCTTTCTCAATTTCTAGATGGAAACCAAGATATAAAGGACAAATTTTATACCTGTTTTACAATTTCCAATATTTCAAGTTCGATCGAATATATGCCATCATAATAAGTCACAATTTGAACTGGTTTTTTTTCTCAGAAACTCTCCTACAAGGTCTATATATAACATGAGGTTAAAGGATAATGCTATATTATTTGCTTTCTTTTTAGAAGTTCCGGTACAAAATCTGCCTCATATGAATAATGAAACTGGTCGGCAAAAAAGACACAGAGTTTACCCCAAACGGAATTCCAAAACGTTGGCAATAAAAACAATCAAAAATCTATTTGATTTCAGTTTCAGTATAAAATGTCAATACAAATGAAATGAAAATCACTGAATTCAATTTTCGATTTTTCAAAAATTATTAAAAGTAGACAGATACGTTTCGTTCTATTGATTTGAATAACTTGGTTTTATCGTTCCTTGTTTCTTCCAGTTGATACGATATTCCAGTGCTTGCAATATCTATCATAATTTTCTAATTAGAGTATTGCTGCTTACAAAGAAGCTACTGAACCATGACTTCCGAGTAGTGAAGTTGAAATTATCCCTTCGAAAATTTTACGGACGCCATCAGGAGTCGGTTGACCGTTATGGAACATCTGTTTTACAGATGACGACGGATATGTTCTAATTGTCGTAACCACAATCCCGTCCTAATTTCCTCGAATGTGACCTACCAGATTTGTACTTACACGAGCAACACGACGAGTATCATATGAAGAGCAGGAACTGCTTACCTTTCGGAGCACCTGAGACCATCCCCTGTTAAGGTGTGGTTCGTATTGCTCAGTCGTTGGTTTTCTTTGTTTTGTTTTGTTTACTGTGTGTCTTTTCCTCGTTTTTGTGTTTTTGACTTGGCAATGTCAGTTTGTGTTTGAATTATGAGTTTTAATATCCGTTTGATATCTTTCACCACTCTTATATATAGGTCCTAAAAAGAACACAGTGAGGGATTTCTGGCATATGATTTGGCAAGAAAACGTTGGGAAAATAGTAATGGTAACCCAAATTGAGGAGGAAAGAAGGGTAATTTTTTTTCTGTCAACACTTTGTTCACTATCCATAATTCTCTTCTAACTAATGTTCTCTTCTTCACGAATACATGTCTTGCACATAGTTCTTCTGACATTCAATACTTACATCATATGTGATGGTTCCTGATTTTGATATTACAACGCTATATAGTCACCTTTTCTTTAATTCTAATAGAAAAAAGTCTGCTAATTGCCTTGCTTATCGATAGTTAATAATGGTAAGGGCTGCTTTATAGTGAATTTAAATGTTAAAATGCTTTGAGAAAAATTGGCAGAGTATTTCACTGCCTCTTGATTACTATATTCTCAAGCTAATGATCATGATGAGCATGAAAAACGTTAATCTTACGCAGTGGTAGAATGCATATAAAATCAGAGTTAAGGGAATGTCAAATCTGCATCTGCTGTTTCTTCTCCCAAAATAATTCTTATCGAAGCTACAATAAATATTTTAGTGTAAAGTAGTCCATTAAATCGGGGTGTGGGTTATTAGCGCTCTGTTTGATTTAATGCTTTGCAATGTTGAGAATCCAATAAAAATTGTTGGTGTTTGAGAGAAAGGAAAATAGTGTGATGTATTGATTTCCGTTAAAGTACATACTTGCAGAAGATGCATCATGTGAACTTTCGGTCACCAACCCCAAGATATACCATTTCCTATCTAATAGATTTGAAATTGCCGATATCATTGACTTCTTTATATATATACATTCACTTAAAGATGTATATAAGGCAGGTGAAACAATGAGGGAGATCTTTATACTTCATCGATATGAATAAAAATGATGGGTATTCGCCAATGAGACAGAGACCGAACAACTCAAATAAAAAGAAATAAAAAATGCGTCTTGGGAGCAGCATATAGTGTTCTTAGAAAGACAAGTGTCCAAACAATATATCAAGCTCTACATCTTTCCAATCCTGTAATTTGGAATACACTTAAAAGAAATAATGAAATATTAAGAAAGAACCTACGAAAAACACCTTCAGGAAAAGGGACATTGACTTTCACAATTAAATAATTCCAAAGGCCATGTTGATTTAAAAATCGTCTGAAATTCTGAACTTACAAAGGTTAAACCTTGTTTGGAGAATAAATTAATTTTTAAGACATTGTCTTAATGCAAATGCAGTACTAGTCAGACACTTTGCTTGCGGTCAAGTCAATACAGTTTTTTTTCTCTGAGAAAATTCAGTATATTTTTGTTTTGTATAGGTAAATTAAAACTATTAAACAGTCTAAACATAGGCTACTAATATTATGATTTACTGCATGCGATTTCGATGTGTATGTACCGCAGTGGATTAATCTGAAAATTCACTGGGAGACTGAACATGACTTGTCAAATTGTTGTCCAGATCAGATCAGATCAATTTAGGAAACAATAGTTTACTGGTATTAAAATGTCATTTCAGTTCGAAATCGAGTTACTAGTTTGTGTATGTTATAAGGAAAAGGAAATTCTTCCAGTTAATCATAAATTGTGGTATGAATATAACCATGATAAATTATAATATTACGTTCTTAACGGATGTCAACTACTATTAATGTTTGATTTAGCAAAAAATAATAAGTTGTAAATAAAACCTCTCATAATATATACCATCTAAAACTTCAATTGTAATGTGTTATTCAACCTGCAGTTTGATTCAGTCAGATGATGGGTTTACTTCCAGAAAAAATGTGAACAATATTGGCCCCAAGCACTCAGCAGACCAATGGGAGTAGACAATTATAGACTGACAATTACAGAGGAGACCTATCATACGGTTTATGTCTACAGACTGTTGACGATATATAGCAAGAGGGTAAATTAGTAAACATTAGTTAGATCTAGTTAAAATGATATATATAACTAACACTATTATCCAAACTAAGATTGACTATCATTTGCAAATATTCAAAGACGAACACTAAATACACATTTATTCAATTCAGAATTGGTGAACTTTGTTTTGTAAAGGCGAATTGATTTGTATGGTTAAGTTGGTTGACAAAACCTTGAATCGACCATGCACAGACATACGCGGAACACTTGGTATGAATACACATCCTATATTTTTTGTACTTATAAACAAATAGGTTATACAGACACATTTATTTTATTTTCATTTTAGGATCAGCAAGAACGACAAGTGTTTCATTTCCATTTCACTAATTGGCCTGACCATGGTGTGGCAGACAGTATCAATCTGGGTAACTTTTATAGGAAAGTAAAAGCAAAACAAATTGAAAGGAATGGACCTATGGTTGTCCATTGCAGGTTCGTTCTGCTATATATTGCAACAAGACATACACATATACATTACTTTCCGTTGCGAAGACTTCTTCGGGAACTTTTGGTTTTGTAGAAATGCTAAATAACTTTTCTAACAATAAATTAGAGACATAGTTCCATTGGTTGACATATAATAAAATAGAACCTTTAAAGCAGACTGTACGATGTGGCTTTTTTCTCATTGTTGAAGGTCGAACGGTGCTTACATTCACTTTGGTGGATAGTTGTCTCCTTGGCAATCATACCACATCTCCATATTTATACATGATATGTACATTCTAATTCAATAAAATTGTATTCTACAGAATGATTGATTATTAGACATATTTAGTTTGATAATATGCAAAACAAAATGCATGCCTTAATAAAAGCACACAACCAAACATTTTTTTTTTTAAAGTCTTGTTAATGATCAAAAACAATATCAGGCACTTCAATAACAATACATATTTAGTTTTCACGTCAGAAGTATGAGAAGTGATCCAGGATTTACATATAAGATCTGGGAAATATTAACAGTAATATTCATGATCGACAAAATTACAACTTCTATGTACGACATTTTTGTATATACTAGATTTTAAAATGTTTTATTCTTTAGACCAATTATGAGCAAACGATTGTTTCTATCTTTTTCTGTAAGTTTGTTGTTAACGTCACATCAATAAATAAGTAAGGACTGGCTGATCATATATAACAATGTCTGTTTAGCGCTGGTGTAGGTAGAACAGGAACATTTGTTGCTATAGATGCATTATATGAACATGGAAAAGAAGTTGGTTATGTAGACGTTATGGAGTATGTGACAATGATGAGAAAAGATAGAATGAATATGATTCAGACACACGTATGTTCATTTGAACGTTCTTTTTTCAACATTTGAATTCATGCCTTGAAAAGTGAAGTACAGTTTTTGCACATTTATTTTAAAATTTATGACCTTGTTCACACAAATAAAGTCGATAATTTTTGATGTATGTCTCCTATGGATGTTAAGTAATACAACACTTAAGAACTAGTAAAAAACGATTGATAAAATTTTGATAAAAGGTAAGTTAGGTGTGAATCAGATAAACAGCAGACTAACAGTCAAAGCTCTACATGCAATAGATAAAGAAAGAAAACAAAATTGCAAGAGAAGTGTATAAAGTGAACTTATACGTTATCCTGGAATTTATTGTACAGATATGATGCACTCGCCTCTATATAAAGAAACGTAATTATTTATATCATTCTTTGGGCATACATTTTTTATACAGATCAATTAATTACTATTCAACGATAAAGAGAGATCGACGTCCCATTTCAATACATTAAAAACAACATAAACTACATCGTTTGTTTTTCTATATACATTAAAATCAGGGAGATTTCCCCTTTTGAACCGCATTTGAACATAACTACTTTTAAATTATACAGGAACAATATGAGGCCGTGTTTGATGTACTATTAGAGTTGTTCACGGTCCCACAGACCGCCATAAGAAAGAGTGAATTCTGTAGATACATAGAAAATCAAGGAAACCAGACGATACCTCAAAATCAGAAAATGTACAGATTAGAGTTTCAGGTATAGACGATAAAGAGTGAAAAAAGAGAGAGACGATACAAAAGGGCAATCATAAGCTAACATTGTTGGTGAATAATTATGGCTGTTTACAAAATGCCTTAAAGAGACATTGAACAAACTATTTTTACCTCAATATCAATTTCTTGTAAATAGAATTAAACATGTGTACCATGTGCATTACGTTGAATTTACAGATTCTTTATACTACTGTGTAATCATATTTCTGGAATATGACGATAAATTAAATGCCTCGCACAAAACGCCTGGTTCAAAGATGATGTATTGTAGATGTGTTTAAATACTTGCTCTTACAAATTAGAAGATCAATTCATAAAATGTAAATGGTCAGGTGTGCATGTAACCATGTAAGTTATCGTGTTTTATTGGACAATCCTTATTTAAACAAATTCGTTAACAATATTGTATTGTCTTTGTCTATATAACTTTTTGTATCAAATCAAATGAGCAACACGACGAGGGCCGTATGTATAGCTGGATTTGCTTACACCCCCATTTTATGCCGGGATTCTTGTTGCTCAGTCTTTAATTTTCTATGTTATGTTTTGTAGACTTTTGTTTATCTTTCAGTTGTTTTATGTTTTGCTATGGCGTTGTCAGTGGTTTTTTTTTAACTTATGAATTTGAAGACCCCTTTGGTATCATCCGCCTTTCATGATCAGTTTAGCTCACATTGTCTCATGTCTACATTTCTCATTACATTTTGTAACAGTATGCATGCAATCAAGTACAATAGTCGTACTATAGTGCGGATAATTATTCTAAATCAAAATCGACTGCCACTGCTTTGATAGTTTAAATCCATATTCTATATATCGTCACAGTACTTAACTTGCACTCAGTACCCAATTTGCAACCATTTTGAAAAACAAAAAGCAGAGGACATCTCATAGGTTTTCTTAGAGATTAAACAATTCTTATTTTTATAATTTGTCATTTTGCACGTCTTTCTTCATAACTTATTATACTTACAGATACACAAAACAGTCACATATAAAATGAAGTCTTTAGTGACAAAAAGTTAAATTAACGGAAACGTCGCCTGCGACGTCAACTACAAGTCGACATTTAAAAATGAGCAATTAAAATATGTCACAGGCATCCATTTCTTGTAAAATGCAAAGTACGCATTGAATTTTGTCAACAAAGTTGAAAAATGAAATAAAACATCACTTGTTCGATTTCTAGGGATGTGAAGTTAAGCATATGTGCAATTTTGCTACTGTTCATTAAAGAATTTTGGGTCGTTTGGAGGTCTGTTCCACTTTGTACTTTATTTGGCGTTTTAAGTGGTTTGATTCGAGCGTCAATGACGAGTCTTTTCCAGACGAAATGCGCATCTGTCATACACAATAATATGCCTGGTATCTGTGATGTTTTTTTCAAACCCAATAATTCCACGACCCAGTATGTATTCAAAATCAAATGTATAGCAATATATAGTAAATAAGAATATATTTTCGAAATAAACACATATTGAAAACTTCTGTTTGTTTCTTAAAGTTGCAAAAGTAATAACATTATTCAAGGCATTCAAATGATTCTTTTTTTATCGATTCACTAATTGGATTATTAAATCTCGAGACTTAAGTGAAGACATATAAGTTGTGACAATTTTAAATTGAGATATTTGACATAACTGGCAATTTTCACATATTGTTTCAAATTTTAAATTTCAGCACTGGCCTTTCTCAAAACGATAGTTAATTCAGATTAACAACTGTGTATCTGGTAACACAATCTTTTTGTGGCTAATACCTTGATTCATATCTTTATATCAATAGCAAAATCAAAGTACTGAAGTACTGAACATCGGATGACCACAAGTTCTTGAGGATGGTCAAAAGCACTTGTCTCAGAAAAAAACAACATATCTCTTTACCTGAAACTGAGGTTAATGTACAGAGATATATTTTTTTCTGAGACAAGTTCGTGCGTGGATGATGAATAAATGACAGGAAATTCAACTTCACCGTAATAACTATTTTATTGTTACAGTAGTGATACAAATCAGTATACAGTATACACTGATTTGTTGTTATATATTATATTAAAATAACAGTTACATATATATATGATTTGCATCCATTTGTATATCATTCTATTCTACTATTCTAATAATAGTGCAATGCAAGTGCATGGTGGACACTTTTCTGTAAAAAATCGAGATTGGATACGAGTAGGCATTCATATTTTCCCGCAAAAACAATTACAGAGTTACCGGTCCTTGCCGGTATTGTCGCAAAACGTTCTTTTAGGTATTCTTCCGCATGCTTTAACACAATTTTTCGGTACGTGTGCATTGATATTATCAATGATTTTTTACTTATATATATATATCTAACTACAAAACATTTTCATATTATTAATTTATGTTGTAAACAAAAATATTTTTATCAGTATTCATTGAAGAGATGTATTTATATCAAACGTTTATGTGCGAATATTTATCATGTTTATAGATCGGTTACAAACCCAAAACTAATTTACATAATGGAAATCTAGGCGATAGCAATACATCGGAATGACCTCAAGGTCATCGCGATGTAAAAATTCGTCTTACTTTATGCATTGCCGTATTTTCGCAAATGAATTATATAGAGTTTAGGATTACTAGACAAACAAACACCAACATCCCAATCATCATTTAAATATTACATTCGGTAAAATATATTATATCTTATGATTTATTTTCGGTTTAATATTCATTGAATATTTACGAAAGGAAAAGTTTCTCCTAAAACAATTAAGAGTAAGATTGCCACCTGGATCGTTTTCGAATGAAGAAATATTATAACATCGTTTATTTGTCATGCACATTTTATCAGACTGCACTTTGTAGACACATACGAGTGGAAATATGTTGCTTGATACACTGGTCTCGATTCAAACATGTACAAAATGCACATGAAGTAGCTTTATAACAATAATGCAAATACATATAAATTAGATAAAAACCATTTTAGAACACACATATGAATGAAGCAAAAGAAACAGATTCAGCCTTAATCATCAATATTCTTATATGTACAAATGTACGTACCTTTTGGGTTACTTTTCAGTCACATCATCAAACACGTTTCTCTTACATAATATATTTGAGTATTTCATTTTTCTTAAAAATTACTTACCTTACGACCATCGTATTCTGCTGAAGAATATCAAGCTTCAAGATTAAAAGAGAATATTACGAAGAACACGACAAATGTACTTGCACGTAAGTTAAAATAGTTTTCTCTAGCCAAACATTAGTCAAAAGTATCATGCAGCGACAAAATTATTAAATCATATGCTGATATTTGCCCTATATTATGTAATTCCGCTGATAGAGTAAGTAAGTAATACATTGAGAGGTACATGTATAAAATTTACGATATGAATGGTACTAAACCAGATGCGCATTTGGACATTTATTACAACTTAAGTGGTTTTTGAGGCCAAAATAGCTGAACATTTTACTCTTAATAAAATCACCGAAGAGAGTATAAACACACAAATGAACAAAAGTATACACAAACTTGGATTAAGAACACATTCAGTTAATAGATTTGCCATAACCTTTGTAGATTTTTTGTCATGATCAGGTATTCATTTTAGTTTCAGCTAAAAGTTATCTAGCACAATTGTGCAGCATACAAAAAAAATCTTTAAAATCTGACTTCAGTGTTTTAATCAGTGAATAAATTAGAAGGCATCAAGAGACCCTTTGTATATACAGGCAAATAAAAATAAAACGATTGCAAAATGGAGTATATATTAACGGTACCATTTTTACTGCATCAGATATGCATTTCGACAATAATGGTCTCTTTAGTGATGCTTAAGGCCACAATATCCACCCAGTGTAACTGACAATAACAGTACCAATGTGAATACACGAGATGCGTAACGTTTCACACCAACAGCACAAGAACGCTGAGGATGTGATTTACTGTGAAACAGTTTTCTGATCAGAACAAATGGATGAGAACACACTTTGACTCAAAATTACGAATTCAATCTCTGTTGTTTGTCAGTCAGTAAAATTTTTATTTTTACTTTGGTTGCAATGACAAAGCATGATTTCCCGCTGATATACAGCCGAAATTTTAGTTTGACGTTGTTTTTTTCACACTGTAAACAAAGCTATGTTCGTATTCCAATACAATATGGGGTGTACGTATGTGACGTCACAATTTGAATTGCAAAATCAGTTGTATTGTAAACGAAAACGGAGATCAAAATTGGTTTTGTCGTTATGAATTACGTAACTATCAAAACGAATAGAAAATGCATACAATCACCGACCAGTATGTAACTAATATTTTGCCATTGTGCACATACATCGTAAAGGACACAAATAAGATAGAGTAAAGCTTGTATATCGCCTGCAAATGATAAAGAATCTTTTCATCAACCATTTATATGCGCTGCATGACGAATAAAACTCTCTAGGTTGAGGAAGAACGTCAAAACATAGCGAAAAAGTTGTCATTCATTAGTTGATACGTGTTATTCAAGTACCGCTACTACATTTCAACATCTGACGCAGATCGATATTTCCTCATTTTAAAGTGTCGACTTTAACAGCTGCATTTATATAAATAAGAAAACTACCGAATGACAGATCTACATATAGGATGTCATACATGTACATGAAGATGTCACAGAGTTTGAACATTTTCAATATGTTGGCCGGACATTGAACATGTTGAATTACACAAAAACAATAAAGAAAACCAAAAATTGCATTTATTTGATAAATTCATCAACACTTATCGTTATCTTGATAATAATTGTTCGGTAAATAATCAAGAATTTTCTAAATATACTGCCGAAATTTACTCTAAATAAATCAAATATAAACGGTACTAACTGTCCTTTCTTAGATTTAGATATTTCAGTTTTACACGGGAAAATCTACACAAATATTTACGACAAAAAGGACGATTTTTCGATCACTATTTTAATTTTCCTTTCTTGGACGGCGATGTTACGGTGTTTATATATCACAACTCGTTTGCTATGCCCGTGTCGGTCGTGATAATTATTGAGTCAAGAATTACAAAGATACAAATATTTGGTTTGGAAGTCTGACTGTACCTGTAAAAGACTTTCTACAAACGTGATAGCACATCATAATGTTTACGGTGATGGTGTTTCCATTGGAGTTTAGATGTGTACTGATTGATATATTAGTCTTAGACACATGATTTTATATTAGTTGTGTTGGCTTTGAACTAGCTTTAATTTAAGCGCGAGTACTCTCAGATCTATACTTTGTGTCTTTTGTGTTTGTTTTTCGTTTATTGTTTTGTTCATACATCAGATCGTTAGTTTTCTTGTTTGAATTGTTCTACATTTGTCATTTCGGGTCTTTTTTGTGGCTTACTATGTGGTTTGGGTGTTGCTCATTGTTGAAGGCCGTCAATATTTCCGAAAATAACCCGAAGAATTATAAAGCACACTTTTGATTGACAATTACATTTGTAACACCAAGCGTGACATGGGTATAGTAAGTGGTTGATTAAATTCGGGTGTGGGGTAAGTACCTTATCTATTACCTAATACAGCTATGAGTAAACTAGTGTGTATGATCTAGATAAAATGAACTTCACCAAACATTAATATTTTTACAGATGATAAGTTCAGGCCTTTTCTTATGTCATATGGCAAATCAAGAAATGATTATATCAATGCAGTTATTATTCCTGTAAGTATTTCTCTAGTTTTAAGCTACATATGTTCGTTTCTATGTATGTTGGCATTTGCTTTTGTTGTAGTTCAGTGTTTCTGTTGTTCCGTTGTTTTCCTCTTATTGTTGATGTGTTTCCCTCGGTTTTAGTTTGTTACCTGGATTTGTTTTTGCTTAGTCGAATTATGACCATTGAACAGTGGTATACTACTGTTGCCTTTATGTAAGGGTTACAATAACACATATATCTTAATATCTACGCCTCTTCACTGTTTACAAAGCGGTATAATTATCGAATTAATTATCGAACGAATCTATCCCATCGAACTAGAGATAAAGGATACTACAGATACAGTTAAGTCTGCCTCATATCTTGACTTACATCTAGAAATTGACAATGATGGTCGGTTGAAAACAAAACTTTACGACAAAAGAAATGATTTCAGCTTCCCAATTGTGAACTTTCCATTTCTATGTAGCAAAATTCCAGCAGCGCCTGCATACGGAGTATATATCTCCCAATTGATACGATATTCCCGGGCTTGTGTTTCCTATCATGATTTCCTTGATAGAGTATTGCAGTCACAAGGAAGCTATTAAACTAAGAGTTCCAAATGGTGAAGTTGAAGTCATCCCTTCGTAAATTTTACAGACGCCATCACGAGTTGGTTGACCGTTATGGAATAACCGTTTCACAGATGATATCGGATATGTTTCTTATATCGTAACTACAATACCCTCCCTTTTCACGAATGTGACTTACCGAATTAGACTATTTACCGGATTTGTAATAACATAAGCAACACGACGGGTGCCACATATGGAGCAGGATCTGCTTACCCTTCCGGAGCACCTGAGATCACCCCCAGTTTTTGGTGGGGTTCGTGTTACTTAGTCTTATGTTTTCTATGTTGTGTCATCTGTACTATTATTTGTCTGTTTGTCTTTTTATTTTTGGCCATGGCGTTGTCAGTTTGTTTTCGATCTATCTTTTATCGTTACGATTCGTTACTGTAAAAGTCATGGTTAGGTCTTTTGTTTTTAAACGGTTGTCGAAATACCAGGACTGCCCTTAGAGCAAGTTCCCTTAAATAAAGTGCACAACATGGGGAGTACTTTATCTTAAACAACTATATGACTTTATTAATATCTCATCGGTTGTGTAGTGGTATCTTGCTTGCCTCGAGTGTGGGAGGTCATTTGTAATTTGCTGGTTATCTTGTAAGCACGTTACATTTAAGAGTAAGAGCAAAGTCGGGTTGACTGGAGTTCGAATAATGTGTTTGACTAGGTAACATGTCTTCTTGTGAACTATTATCATGTGAACCAGCGCTATACAAATCTGTCCGAGCGTGTTAGTCTAGTACAGAACAAGGTTCATATTAATATCACACTACATGTATGTGTTATTCCTGAAATGTATGGAATAACCGCCACTGGACTTTAAACAACTATCAAACTTCAATTTATCTTTGTTTTTCTGTAAGTCATAAACGAATTTTTTTTATTCACGTCAATCTTTAAAGATAAGCAATATGATGTTCACGAAACAGTATTTTGCAATATGTTGACAACTAATTGGTCAGACATTAGAACACATTCCCTAATTATGTAATGCATTCGGTTTTGATTATTTGTAGTTTTATGGAAGCACAATTTTAAATTAGTTCTCAGTAATATTTTTCTTTCTGGGACCAGCTTATGCATTGTAGTAAGTCTTGTTATGTTTTTTTATTATAATAATAGGTGTGATAAACTTTGCAGATATGCATGTACATCGTATTTAACATTAGGCTATTTGACAAAATGTTCTTGGTCTTCTCTTGAACATATATATGTTGATATATGCAACTACTTTATCTTTGAATGTATTAAGTATCTTAATGAAGATATCATATTGAGAAAAAGAAGTTTTTTAATGTCCCCGCGTTGCACTAAGGGCAATAACTAAAAACAAAAACAAAAAAACATTTACTTTTTCATAAATATTTTACAAGAAATGAAGGATTGAGATCAATAACAATGTTATTTTCCACATGCTTCTAATTCCAAGGAAATCAACTCATGTAATATGGTTGGCCGCCACTTTTTCTAACCTTACTGATTAAAGCCTTTGATATAAACAAATTTTTACAAGAAATGTAAGTGTGAGAGTGCTTAAAATGCGATATTCAATATTATATATAAATAAGAAGATGTGGTATGAGTTCCAATGAGACAACTCCATCCAAGTCACAATGTATAAAAAGTTAACAATTATAGGTTAAAGACGGCCTTCAACATGGAGCCTTGGCTCACACCGAACAGCAAGCTATAAAGGGCCCCATCTACATTTTAAAGAGACATAACTCATTTACAAAATAAATAGAACAGCGCTGATTTTTCAACACACCCAAGACATTGCTGATATAAACCTATGATATAAATTTCATAACAAACCAACAAGAAATGTAGGTGTGAAAGTGCTTCCAATTTTTTTATCTAATAAAATTTCCAAGGGGCATACCTCTTTTTAAATGATTGATCGGAACTGATTTTCAAACTTGTCCGAGAAATTGCTGATATAACCTATCATGATATAAATTTCATAAATATCTGGCAAGAATTGTACACTTTAGAGCGCTTATATGTAATTTTCCACAGATTTTATTCTTCAAGGGGTATAAATTCTTTAAAATAGCTGTTTGGCACTGATTTTCGAAACTGTCGAAGACATTGCTGAATATAAACCTATGATATAAATTTCATTAAAATATGGCAAAAACATGTGAGAGCGCTCACAAGACTGGAAGGACAGACGCTCGGAAAGGACGGACGCCAAATATTTCTTTGTCCCCCGCAACGGGTCGAGCAGAAGACAATTATTTTATAAAGATTAAATTAATCTCAGTCAAATATAATTTTAGACAAAGCTGCTGCTCATATTAGATTTTATCATAATCTAACCATTTAACATAATTTTTCTAATGATGAAGTGTTAATTGAAGTAACATCTTATCTCTCTGCATTTGAAGCGAAAACAGTATATTTCGTCATGAGTTTATGAAGACGATTCTATTATTTATGAATAGAATTAAGAAAATGACATTTATATGTATTTTGTGGTTACAAATGGTTTTTATCATATTTAAACTATTTAAAAATACATAATTCGGAACGATATGAAAAGTATTAAAAAATAAAGATGTTCGACAGCATGACTTATATCAATTGGATAAGTGAATATTTAAAATCCGGTATGTCAGATACATTTTTGTTTCATACAGTTGTAAAAATGTGGTGTATAACTATTTTGTCCACGTAAAAAATAGATTTATTGCAACTTGTCTACGAACTTTTAAAAGAATTCTCACATATTGTGTAATGTTCTTATAATCTGAAATAATTAAATTTTGTGTTATTAAATTTTATTGCAGGGATATTTTGAGAACAGTGTGTTCTTTGCAACACAATGTCCTTTGGAAGAAACTGTTCTTGATTTCTTGACCATGATTTCTGATCATGACTCAAAAATTATTGTTTTGTTGGATTCATCTAACAAAGTATGTATAACTCTTTTGATTTATATTATGTTTACAAGTGCTATTATTAATATGTTATGGGTACATTTAAAGTTTACTTTTTATCTGTAGGATTTCTTTTTTTAATCTGATCACATCTGAAATATAAAATGAATACGCGAAACCATACTTACCGAATGATAAGTGTCTTTCAGACATTATTTGAAAGGTATATTAAGATAAAGTAAAAAATAATTCGACACTTCATTTCGGAACTTCTTTCTATACAAATGTAAGCCCAGGAGTTGACTAACGTATAAACATATGATATCCTGGACTACTCCCATCCAGCGGTAAAATCCATGCTGGAGATGGACTCTGTTTGACCGTGGGATATATATAAATACGCATCCACGTCAGGTTGAAATGGGGACGTTAATTTCAATGACTCAAATAGGGATTGTTGCCTAGCTATCTGTTAGTTACTCTTTGAGACTTCCGTTAATGGAATGATAAAAGGACAATTATCCACGAGAGATCAACTGACGCAGATGTAAGCAACGATATGCCACTGTACGGTCTTCAACCATTAGCATAACCCATACCGTATAGTAATGTGTCAAAGGTCCTAACATGACAAAATTTTAATTGAGGAAAAACCAAGAACCGGATTTATGTACAAATCCAAATCAAAAATACGATAGAAAGTGACAAACGACAACCACTAAATTAGTCTCAGGACTTTTGACAAACACATACAGCATGTGGTGAGATTAAACATGATTGCGAGCCCCCAAATATCCCTATAACCTTGGACAGTAATGGGGGAAGGGGGGAGGGGACGAACAAACTTTAAGATCAGTTGATTTATTTTTTACTTAGCCTCGCTTTTCTATGGTAGTCTAAATCAGGAAATCTACGTTGCCACATGTATATACCGACTCTTGAGCAAAAGATGGTAAAAGATGGAAAACTAATTTTTGATTTGATTTTTGATTTTTGGTGTTTAACGCCACTTTTGGGCTATTTCGTGGCGGCCAGTTTTTATTGGTGGAGGAAGCCGGAGTGCCCGGAGAAAACCACCGACCTTCGATAGGAAAACTGACAATCCTAGTCAATTAAGATTGGAGTCGAGTGCACTCGCACGAGCGAGGTTCGAACTCACAACCTCAGTGTTGACTGGCTAGTGATTACAGTAGTAACTACTTAGACCATTCGGCCACCGAGGCCCCCCTAATTTTTGAAACCAGAGGTTAGAGGTTGTAAACACAGTTATCGTACGGTTTAGGTAGGTTCCTTAAACAATGATAAATTCCATGTTCTATAATAACGTTTTTACAGAATGCTCTATTGTGGCCAGAGAAAGACGAAATGCTAGAGTTTGAAGATTTCACTATTGTGCATGAACGAGCAAGTACACGTGGGAAAATGGAGCTCATTTTGAATCATAAGGTGAACTAGATAATATTTACTCGAAAAACAAACGTAAAGAACTAAGATTGATTACGAATTAAGATTGTTTAATAGAAAAAAAAACATAAAGAATTAAAACTGATTTAGAATCAAGATTGTTTAGGAATCCTGTTTATTTTTTACCAGATAATTACTGATGTTCTGTTTTACTAATTTCTTATTCATACTGGGTATCATCATTTTTATAATTCCTCCGTGAAAATCGGATCCATATTGTACTGTTACACATTGTTCATTAATCGCTTCTCGGGATTCTGAACCCAATACGTTCTCGGATCGGGATACCAGGAGTGTTGTTGCATCTAGAGCAATGAAATGTTTGAAATCTTACATAAACTCTTCAATATATGTTTCTTCAAACAGACTACTTAAATTACATAAAAGATGACATCCCATAACTTTCAGTCACGTGAACAGGGTTATTTTCAGTTTTCGAATTCTCTATTGAAAATGGTATTTTGTCTTAAGCATATTATACTGAAGATGTTTTCGTGCAATGGGCTTTGGTTTGGTTTGTCGTAGTCTAATTTGTGTTTCTGTCTGTGAATGTCTACATCTTTGTCATAACCAGCCCGACAGGTATAGAATAATGGAGCAGGAATACTACTAATCTAAGGGACCTGGTTAAATAAAAACAAGAAGATGTGATATGATTTGCAATGAGACAAATCTCTACCAGATACCAAATGACGTAGAAGTTTACCACTATATGTCACTTTACGGCCTTCAACAATAAACAAAACCCATATCGGAAAGCAAGCTATTATAAATCGCCCCGAAATGACAAATGCAAAACATTTCAAACGAGAAAACTAACGGTCTGTTTTATGTACAAGAAATAAACGAAAAACAAATATATTATACTGCATCAAACGACAACCAATAACTTTCCGGCTCCTGACTTGGGACAGGCACGTAGACAATGTTGCGGGAATAAACATGTTTACAGGCGCCACACCTCCCCTAACTTGGGACACAGTAAAACATAGGAACAAACTGTTAATACATCCCCCCAAAAAAAGACACAAACCACAGATCTGAGAGTACTCACAGTTACTAAAAGCTATTTTAAACTAATAATAACTAATGAACAAAAAAATCATGCATCTAAGACTGAAATATCAATCAGTGCACCTCCAACATCAAATGGATTTAGTGTAAAAACGTCATTAACAGTCGGAAAAAACATGACCATGTGCAATTCCAATGCAAGATATAAGTGTCGACAGAATTTAGGACCATAAATGTTCATAGATGTAAAGCAATAATATTTAGTTGGGTTTTAATTTATTCATAACAAAATAAATAATTAAACCAATATGAACAATATTCGAAGATCCAATTACAATGTTAAATCGGTAACCTGTTAGAATAAGTTAATCTAAAGGACCGATAAGTTTTCCCGGATCGCATCTAAATTTTCGGGCTCGATAAACAACATCACCGTAAACATCGGGAGGATGTGACATCCCATTTGTAATAAGTTTTCTACAGGTACAGCCCAATTTACAAACCTGACTTTTGTATCTCTGAAAGAATTAAGTAAAGGTCCTAACTAGTTTGTGGTAACGATATCATTAACTGAATACGTTACCAGAAATATATAGATTACGTTCATTGAAATCCTGTGCATAGGTTATGCACGGTATATATCGCTTCCATTTAGTGGGACGATGTTGTTTATTTGCATTGGTAATTTTTATCATACTGAACATAGGTTTTTGACCATTGTACTGCGTTTCTGTTTTTCATTCTGTTAATTTTTAAATCGATTTTTGTTCGTTTTAAAGCATTGCTTTTCAGAACTGTATATTTGGCGTCCGTGCAATTTTATATCAAAGAGGTATGATGGACTGCTAATATAACATGTATAATGTGTATCATTAGGTACATTGAATTTTGGTTTGCATTGAACTCTTTTGTCATGTCTTTAACTATTTGGCAAGCGACGAAAAGCATGCACAGTCAAATTCAGGCAAATGATTCCATAATTTTAACGCATACGGTAATCCGTCGAAAAAAATTGAGAACGAATTTTTATAAGGCACTGTATGCAATCGTGTTGGTTCATTTGAGACATAGCTCATTACAACTGGTCGTGTAATTTAGCAGATTTATCGAATGCAGAGCGCTATCCTTTTCCTCTTAATATATCCTTATACATGTACATGCAAATAATACTTTTTAAATTATGTGTGACCGAAACGCTTTTTGGGATTAAAATTTTGACCTCATCAGGAACACTCAAACTCCCTAAAAAAAAGCCAGGTAAATATATGTATAAGCATTGAATACGCGAAAAACTTTATGATCAAAAGGAACATAAAACGAATAGCCAAATCCGCCTAAGGTTAACTGTGTCTGAGGAAGTTGCATGTAGAGACAAATATATTGCTAAAAATGTATATTACACAAAGCGTACTGCCATTTTTTTTCATCTACAACAATCCCAATTGAAAAAATCCATTGTAAATACATCAAAACTATAAATATTGGTAAGTTATTCAAGCTGCGACGGTTGCTTCTCTACACAGCACATGCTATTGTAAATTTCTATGCTATCTATTGTTATGAGTTCTTTTAAAACATTATGACGTATATTCCTTCCTTATTGGTGAATAATTATTACTAGTCCGTGTGTTTTTTAGTGAGTTGCATACTGTAGTAAAATACAGTATATAGTGTATTTTCGTTCGTAAAAGTAAGCATTTAATAAATATATATCAAATCCAAGGTATTTTGAAATTACTAATTTATACTTACGTAATAATTTGTATATTTCATTAATGTCTCTTTAAAGAAACAGAAAGAGAAAAGGACAATTATTGTCTTCACTTTAGAGGAGTGGGAAGAGAACACCATCATACCTCCTACAAAGGAATGTATGCTGGAACTTTTGCAACTTGTAATTAATTGTTGGGAGAAAGGGAAATGTCCGATAACTGTAGTTTGTTGGTAAGCTCTGTTAGCAATTGCATTTTTTCTGAGAAATATTTTACGTTTAACTGTTTACATGTATCACAATTAATTAGTGCAAGTAGCAGTTGTACGGTCTGTAACATGTTTTTTTCGTTATTATATAAAATTAAGAAGATGTGATATGATTGCCAATGATACAACTCTCCACCAAAGACCAAATAACATAGAATTTAACAACTATAGGTCACCATACGGTCTTCAAATATGAACAAAATCCATACCGCCTAGTCAGCTATTAAAGGCCTCGAAAGGATAAATGTAATATAATTCAAACGAAAAAATTAACGGCCTGATTAATGTACAAAAGAATGAACGAAAATCAAATATGATATACAGTAACAAACAAATGACTTTGGACAGGCACAAACAGGCGAGGTTGAACTTAGTCTAGTTTGCTGGCGCCAAACCCTCCCCCTAACCTGGGACAATGGTGTAACAGTACAGCCTAAGAACAAATTATAAAACATCTGTTGAAAAAGGCTTAACTCATCAGATCGATACAAAGCGGGAAAAACACAGATTGGACGTGGCAGGGTATTTATACATCACCACAACAAAAAAGACAATAGGTACAGATCTGAGAGTACTCGCAGTTAGTGAACGCTAGTTCAAAGCCAATAACAACTAATAAGAAAATCCTGTATCCAAGAATAAAATATGTATATACAGCTAATAACTGCGTGTGGAGAAACTCCATGACTGGTACAATATTCATGAGACATACGTAAACGGTTTTGGAAATGGACAATACGACTTCGTTTCAAATATGAGGATCTCCTGGTAAAACCTGTGAAATAACTCAAATGTACATCATGTTTCATCACAAAAAATAAAAAACCAAATGCGTAATAAGTAATATCAAATATAATATAAAAAGGATAGCAGGATTCACTAAACAAATTGGGCAGTATAATAATTCTCATCCACCAGCAACCGAATCCTCAGAGAAAATTTATTTTACGATATGAAACATTGTCTATGTCATCAAAATATTGACAAGCAAAACAATTGATAGCCTGATTCATGTCTGAGCATATTCCTGATAATGTGTTCCTGCACAATGACTTTTATGGTTCTATGATTTACGAAACAGCGTGTATTACTGCTAAAGAAGTATACAATCTATGATTTTTTAGCAGCCATTTCAATATGCTTTTCTGAAATCAGATTATGTGGAAGAGAAGTACACTTAGAAGAACAACCAAACTATAAACAAGTCCAATACTAAAGTAGTTTGTAGGCTATATATGTTGAAATTGGAACGCCTCTAGTAGGTACTTCGGTACATCATGCTTTTGGCTTGATTCAAATTGGAAAACATGGAAACCTTTATTATATCATGTGTTTTAACAAACATTTAAAAATAACCTGGATAAAATATTCTAAGATAAGAAAAGAATTGTCTATGACAGACCGAATAAAAAACATAATAACTGTCTGTGCCAGTCATGAAAATCGTTCACTTTCCTTATTAATTATAGTCTAACATTATTTTAGTAACGGCTGCAGCAAATGTGGGCTATTTGTTGCTATGAAACTGATTTTAGAAAAAATGGAAATAGACGACGAAGTGGATGTTTTCCAAATAGTTCGAGCGATGCAGATACGGAGGCCAGAATTCTTTTTAGAATTTGTAAGTATTTAAAAGTCTAAAGACTGGATTGTTATGTCAAAATTGTTACGGCATCACCTGTACCGTAGAGGGAAGTGAGTTAATAAGAGTCTAATATATTAACAACTAGTACATGTAGTAGAAGATTAACGAGCTCAATACGATTATACAGACAAAGATGTATCGTTTTTGTTTTTTCCGTTTTTTTCTTCTTACTCTTCAGGAGCACTTGAGGTCATCCCATACTTTTGGTTCGATTCGGGTTGTTCAAAATTAACTTTTTTTTTTTTTTTGTTTGATGTCTTGCATTTTTTTTTGGCCATCTCAAGGATTTTTTAATGTACCCCTTGTATCTTTCGCCTCTATTCCTTATTATGTAAGACTTTATTTGTATCGAATATAAGTTTTTATGAATATTTTACATGATTATTCAATACGTTCAATGTGAGTTAGCAACCTAGAAAATACCACATATTCAAGTAATAATCTTCTAAAAAAATCTATTCATAGACAAAACGAAGTCTGATTGGTTTGAGAACCAGATGCAACACCACCATATCATTGGAAGCCAGTTTCCTTCTTGGATCTGAGTAAATGCAGTGAATAACACTGCTCCTCACTGTAAACACGAGTTCCACATTTAAGCAGGATCTGCATACCCGTACGGAGCAGCAAAGTTAACACCCGTTTTCTAGGGGGCGGAGGGGGGTCGTTTTGCTCAGTCTTATGTTTGCTATATATAAGTTGCTACGTAGACCCGGTATTGTTATTGCTGACTATAAGGTATGGATTTTTCTCATTGCTGAAGACCATACGGTGACCTATAATTGCTAATATCCACGTTGTTTGGCCTTCGGTGGATAGTTGTCTCATTGGCAATCATACCATTTTTCCTCATTTGTATGTTGTCTTTTCGTTTTTTGGGTTTTTTTTTGCCTTGATTTTGTCGGTTTCTCTTCAATTTATGAATCTTGAGTGTCACTTCAGTATTTTCCGTCTCATTTGTTTTTCTTTATCAACATATGCATACATCACGACACGTCATGATGTTTCAATTAGTGGCCTTTTATCATTGATACACAATCCATTGTGTAGAAATAAAATTCGCTTTTAGCTATATCGACTAATCCATCTTAAACTGAAATATGTTAAACGTTTGCTTAGAAACCTTAATAACACATTGCAACTTTATCAGTGCAAACAGTCAGCTTTCAAGTTAGCTATTGCTCAGGGCAGATTTTCATGTACCTTAGCAGTACATGTTCTTCTGACAGAGTTGAACGTTCAAAATGAATATTTCGTGGTTAGATCGGGTTCTCCGGTATTATCAGCAATAGGTCAACTATTTTTGCTGTATATAATGATTGAAAGGTGAACAGGTCTATGTAGCAGGGTTCATTTGACAATGACTTCGTTTCATGGTTCATCGCTCAACATAAGGTTTTCTGGTCACGTCCTTTTATCAGATAATATAAACAATGGGTCAACTATATGTGCTGTATGGATTTATCAAAAGGGGATCATGTTCGTCTGGCAGAATTCACCTGCAAAAAAAGGAAATTGATCCATGAACTTAAAAACATTTTTAAGCAATCAAAAAGTAATCAATCCTGAGATTTACATAGAATTGAGCTTTCCCATATTTTTTTATAAGGAGTTTCCGAACGATTACATGATAACGGTAAGCAACAGAACTATTTTAATTGAGCATTTGACGTTGCTAGTGGACTATTAGTCACGTACAGTATCCTCGGCATAGTAGTCTTTTAGTTCTGACATTTTTTATAACCTACAATTAAACAATTCCGGTTGGAAAACTAATAAATTATTAAAATACTATGGTTGCAACTCCCTGAGTATGCTAAGGCAAGGATGACCTTAGATGAATTTGTCTATTCATTTTAGTCCTTGTGTGGTCATGAAGCTTCTACATTTTCTAATATGTATAATTCCTTGGCTTGGAGATGCTTAGGTTGGGGGCATGTCTGATGAAGGTAGCATAGGAAAGCGATTTTGTGTTATAAAATATTCAAATACGCCATATGTTTTCATTAATATATAATTGAATTATTTTTTTTAATCACATTGTGTATGAAGTGCGGAAGCGCTAACAAATGTATGTGTAAAATAGTAATGGTCACTTACTTTCCGTACATGTGAATTAAAACACTACAGTATTCAACCTGTTCAATTCTTAAATTTTCTGGTTTTTCGAAATAAAAAAAATACATGCTGTTCCCATTTTGAATCTGAAATTAAAGTATCAAACGTAAAACTTCGATAGACACTGTTTAGTTTCATAAATGTAGTGTCTTTTACTCACGTGATATCAACATACATCTGAAATGTACATATGAAGATGTCGATTTCAAAGTATATAGCTTAATATATATTTATCCAAGTTCAATATTAATTTACCTTTATATCCAATTATAGAAATTTTCAAATTGTTGCATATTCATATCAATTATCCTCCGTTCTCTGATACATCGTCAAATTTGTTAAATTATAAAAAAAAATACTATTTTATAAAGCAATTATTGTTTGCACGAACTTGATGAACAATACGGGAAAAAGTGTTGATGGTTATTTTGGTGGAGCTAATAATTCTGTAATGTTGGGTTGTATCATAAGACATGTGTTTTTTTTATACAAGATGACAGCATATGACGGAATAAATTGTTTATTTTAGCCAGTAAATGATCAGCATTTGTATGAATTGAACAGCTACTGTAAATATTTTAAAATGAATCATGAATTTTTAGGGGGATTCATTTCCACATTGAATGCCATAATTTGGTTGGGCATACCAAACATGTGAAGGTTTAATTTAAATTATGATTTGCATTTATAACAACGATTTGATTTTAAGTGTTTAATTTGTCTTTTATTTCCTTTCAGGATCAGTATGAATATTGTTACAAGTGTATCAACAAACTTTTAGAAGGCGACTCGTTGTATGCCAATGTATAAATAAGTTTTGTGTCATATCTTGTATACTCACTTGAAGAAATTTTATTCTATGCTTTGTTGTCATGATTGTATGTCATGTATTGTAATAACAAAATTGTAATCGACACTGATTATGTGAAATTTAGTGTGACAATGCTAAATATTATTTGTTATTGTATTGTGTTTTGAATAACATGAATAACATTAATAATAATATTACTTAAGTAATTCTGGACATACTTTTACCTAAGTATCCCAGAAAGCATACTAAAGGATCCATGTATTTTTTTGACAAACTCAAATGACGAGGGAAACATAAAAAGAGTTTAAACGCATAAAGCTTTACCAAATACAATTTAATAACCAAATGAATGCTATTACCATCTCTGCTATATAATACCGCATATTTCATTTTTGTACCACCGATTCACTGATCTTCCACGCATTTAAATTAACCGAATAATATAAATGTGAGTAATGGAATTCAATTTTAAATGGATTATGAAATGAGTATGAAAATAAATCATGCAATACATATGGTAAGTGCATTGTAGTTTTGTATTGTGATAAAATTCACAAAGTTATACACATTAACACAGTCATACATTCAAATATCTATGAAAAACACAAATGCAAGGAGTCTTTTTTCTAGCATAAACATAGTTTGCACAAAAACACAACCGTAAATAGAAATTACATTAACTATATATTTGACACACTACACATAAAGACGAATAAATATTTAAGATAAGAATATACATTTTTCTGTGTGTGTCTATTTTCGTTTTGATTATGTGTTCAGTAAATAGTTCGTCTATCGATCAAATGTATTTCATATTCGAGCTTTGAAAGAGAAAAGCACATTTGGTTGTCAGGTGCAAATTTCACAAAGCCCATACAAATTGCACATTTAGTTTGAGATTATGAAATTTGTATTTTCGACAAACTGTCCTATTCAAACAACCCATTTGAATTATAGCATTATTGCTTCAAAAGAAGGGACATTATTAGTTTTTTCTATGAGGGAAAAAATAGAGTATCTTCTTAATGAAAACCTCAAGAGTTAGTTGACTTTGTCTGGAAATTTATTTATACCTTAGTTTTATTTCTCCCGACAGATAGTAAAAAAACTTTGTGGGAGATGTAAACTCTATTGCAGGACCTAATTATTATATTAAATGTTAATTAGTCTTCCTCTTGAACTTACATGAATTATTTGTCATTTGGTATAGAAAAAGGACTGTAAAACTCTTGGAGTGTCTCATTATCATGTTATAGTTGTTTATGTCAGGAGTACACCCCTGTGTATGAAATACATTTATTGTGAACATACACGCTTGTAACGTATGAGTGACAGTTCGTGTCATTGGCGGTATGAACATACCGTATGCATTTTTCAACGAGCTGGTTTTAACTTCCAACGCGTTGCTTATAACTTGCAACGCGTTGGTTATCATTTTCAACGCGTTGGTTGTAAAACCAAACGCGTTGATTCGTAATATATACGGTATGAAAAAACAACGCGTTGGTTTTCAATTCCATAGCGTAAGTTTTTAATTCCATACCGTAAGTTATGCACTTTTGTCAACCAATCAAGAAGTTCCTTACAAAGTATTATCTAAAAATATCTTGTCGTCATTTAGTGTACCCTTCTAAATATTCGGACAGCCTCCGGATTTTCTTGAGATAGGCGGTAAAGTATAAATATGGCTGAATCGTCTGCAGCCCGTCTGCAAATATTAATAAACAGGGCCAAAAGATTGAATACAGAGGCAACTGTTGCCGAAAATCAAGATGACGATGATTTCTTGTCTTGGTAAGGTCCGGTAAAAGATTTTTGATAATCAACATTTACGCAAAAACAATATTTCTTTTATTTATACGTATATGATATACACGTCCCTGTTGAGTGTTGATATAGTTTTATTGATGTGGTGTTGTAACTTGTATCAAAGGGGCTTGTCTAGTTAGAAGGTCGAGTTTTAATTTCTTGTTTAGTTGGTCAGACGAGTTTTAAATGAATATTTTTATAGAAAATAAAGTGTATAGATACAGCTTACATCAACTTGTGTTGTTTTTGTAACCCAAACAATATACAACAATGGCTTTCAAAAGTTAATATCCACAATTATTAAATCGAGAACACGACTATTTTCCTTGAGGTCTATAAGATTTAATAATTTTGGATATTACTTTTATGAAGGCCATAACTGTATTATTATGCTGAACTAAGCCTAAAGTTGCTATCAATTAAGTTGTTATTCGAAAGATGTCGTGCAAATTTCAGCCGAAGGAGTTATTTTGCCTACGCGCTCATTCCCACACAGTTATTGTGCCTAGGCACAGTTGCCCGCTTGAAATATATGGTTATTTTTATGACGTTGATATTCCCTATTGGCTAATAGTCATTCTGCCTACGCGCAGTTACACTCGGAAAAGAGAGTATAATATATAAGTCTTGTTTTATATATTATATTTTGTTAACTGTTATCTTTGGTATTCGAGTATTGTGGTTGCCAAGTTCAAGTGATCCGTCTGACCTACTGTAGACAAGTTAGTATTTTCACCACCGGAGAATACATTTTCCCGCCAAACTGGAGTTTGTCCGACCGGTTAGATTGTACTTTGTTAGAAAGGTTTTGATTGGTAGATATAAATGGAAAAACTTACGGTATAGAATTGAAAACCAACGCGTTGGTTTTTCATACCGTATGAATTACGAATCAACGCGTTAGTTTTTACAACCAACGCGTTGAAAATGATAACCAACGCGTTGAAAGTGAAAACCAACGCGTTGAAAGTAAAAACCAACGCGTTGTAAATTTCATACGGTATGTCCATACCGCCAATGACACGAGCGGCCACTCATAGTAACGCGTCAATTTAGATATGTAAACGACATACGATGTGACAGATGGCATGTTACTGCTGTGAAAAGGGAAGCAGACAACTTGTATAATTTTGAACCTCGTCAATGCCAGCTTGGCAAACTCATCTTTACCAATTCGATTAATGATATCTGGGACATCCGACATAATCAACTCGTCCTAAACATGCATGACATATTTGGACGTTAAACAAACAACAATCAATCAATTGACTGACCGACACAATATACTGACAGCCAGTCAGTGTACTATTCCCAGATGATAGATGTGATACCGCCATATACTTTTCATTATCATGATTATAAAGTTTAAATGCTGGTATGGTAATTTATTTTGTTGATGCGGACAAAAAGCTTTGTTAGACGAAACCTTCCTCAGATGTGAAAACTACTGATTTTTAGTGACGTCTCAGTATTTTGAATACAAAGAGAATATGTTGACATTCTTCATTGTTGTCATGTGTATTATACAAGCCATCCTGAGCTAACAAATGTAATGACACATGATACTGCCATATAATTTACATTACAAAGTACAAATATGGTCAGTTTTTGGTTGATGCTGGCACCCATTTTTGTAATACAAACCATCCTGAGATATGAACATTAATGATTTTTAGTGACGTCTCAGTATTTTGAATAAAAAGAGGAAATGGTGGAACTCTAAATTGATGCGGCAATTTTTGTAGTCACTGTGTACCAATATTGCAATGTAGTGTAATGGTATACCTGACACAAGGTTAGTCATTTTTCACTCAGCACTGTATCATTATTCTCTTTTAAAATTTATAGAATTTTGTAAACTTAGCGTAACAAGATAACTCCATCCCGAATTATGACGGAGAACGACGTAAATCATAAGTTGGACGTTCACTGTCATGATTTGTTTGGCAATTAAGATGCGTCGGTGTCGAAACTCAGAAGTAACATATGTCCGTTGCTTTAGATCGTTTGATTCCGGCATAGTCGTCTGATATGTAATTTAACTGATTGCATTCTTTTCTAATTGTGACATATTGTAGAGTGCAGGCGAGGTGGATGATTTATACCTTTCGATGCAACTAGTCTCGGTCCTTTTAGATTCCTTAAATGTTTGTTGTTTTACATTGATTTGTTTCTTTTTACAATATTATAGATTGATGTACTAATGTAATTGATCAGCAGTACATTACTGTTGTCTCTAACATATCTATGCATTTAGAATATATCCCAAGACATAAAAAAAGTTCCCGGTTTCCTACCATATAAGCAATATAATGAACTTTTGGCGATAATTGATACATACTCATTATCTCAATAAATCGCAATAGTTGAAATGCTCCTTGATATGGAAAACAGCTTTCGATCTTGTCGAAAAATAATATAACAGGATGCATTAACACAATGAAAAATCAGAACTAGTAGAAAATAAACTGATTTTTGAAATGGACTATAAATTTTCACTTCTTCGTACTATGAACATCAAAATTATTTATTTTGTAAAAATATTTCCTTTCTGTATTTGAACTGTACACGTATACCTCAGCACAAAATTATTTTCATTTACCTGTGTTTAAAGTAATTGCAAATGGCTGATATTTTTGTTTAAGCATATTGTTTTTCTTAAATTGTTTAACATTTCACAGCGGTATAATATGTTACTTTAATTATTGTTCCCTTAATTTATTTATTTTGTATTTGCATTGTATCATAGATCAAATTTATTTGTTCAGTGTATGTTCACTGGTGTTAATATGTCTTTTGATTGAGTTAAGCCATTTCTATTGATATTTTATAGTATGTCTTTCTATGTTGTAATGTTACACTATTGTTTCAGATAAGGGTGAAAGTTTGGTACCTTTAACACGTTTAAACCCGCTGCAATTGTTTGCACCTATCCTTAGTCAGGAATCTGATGTTCAGTAGTTGTCGTTTGTTGATGTTGTTCATAAGTGTTTCTCGTTTCTCGTTTTTTATATGTATATTAGACCGTTGGTTTTCCCGTTTGAATGGTTTTACAATAGTTATTTTTGTGGCCCTTTATAGTTTGCTGTTCGGTGTGAGCCAAGGCTCCGTTATGAAGACCGTACTTTGACCTATAATGGTCTACTTTTATAAATTTTGACTTTGATGGAGAGTTGTCTCATTGGCACTCATACCACATCTTCTTATATCTATATATAGACAAATGCTGTGTTGAAGAAAAAAAATAATAACGCCCGTTAACTTTCAATTGGTCGTCTGAAATCAAAAAGAGTTAATGCATTATTGTTGGTGTGTATATGTTTGGTATTTAAAAAGTAGATACAAAGTACTGCCAATGAACTGATGCATTATGTTCAATTTTCCTCTTTTAACGTGAAATCAGAAAATAATCCTGTATTGATATGTTGCAATTGTCATACATGATTTATTATTAGCAGTCGTTATAAATTTGTAATATAAACATTTGTAAGGGAACAAACTCTTGGACATGTCAAACACTTGCATATATTGTTGAAGATTAGGACAACATCCTGGTGAAATTAAATATAGTTCGATTTTGTGGCGTCGTTCTGCATTTGCGTATTATTTATTGTTAAAATGGAAAATTAGTAAACGACGTTATTTTCTCTGTAATCCTGCCTTTAAATCACGACTGTTGATAGACAAGAGCACGAAAAGAAAATTTCTTGCG